AGCCAGTAATGGACAAGAAAACAAAAAACAAATGACATGCCTTTACTGTGAAAGAAGTTGAAGGAACAATTACAGCAAAAGAGGTTTTAAGGTACACTTATAAACTAATATTCAAGCAAGACCTCAAAGAAATCAGGGAGTGGGGATTATTTACAGAGAGGGAAGGGCTAATGCAGATGGGAAGATACCATTTCCAAATTCTTTGGACCCTCCCCTTTCAGTTTTTACAGGACATATTTTTGACAAAACAACAAGAAGCCAAGTCAAAACTCTGAGGGGTTACTTAAGTTGAACTAAAAATATTGATTCTACCATTCATTCATTGATGTACTGTTAAAGAAACGTATCACAAAAAATCTTGAACAAACCCATTGACCTGATAGGCAACCTTTCCCAAGAAATAACTTGCAGATATCATGTAGATGAAGACTTCATAGCATCAATGGCTTCGAACCAAAACGCACAGTTTAAGCAAATTTTCATTTGCAACCTTAATTACAAAGCATAAAGTAAGTAAATCTGACAGAATTTATGTAAACATGGCTTCAGTGAGTGTCTGCAGGTCCTATGCTAAGTGTGTCCTTGGTACCAAGACTTTGATCCTCCCCACCCAGGACAATGGGTGACTATCTGTGCCTGCCACTGAGCTCTGCCATTATCAACAACAACAACAACAACAACAACAACAATAACAACAAAACTTTATTAATAAACACATAAACTTACAGAAGTATTACCCGCAGCTAGCAAGGCTATTCGAGGCGGGACAATGCGTGCAAAATATAAAAATTGAGACTAAGGCTATTAACATTATCATTCTCAGCAGAGGCGTGATTCAGCTTAGTGGCTAGGGCAAATTAAGAACAAGGTACTTGCCAGTCAAAGCCTCTAGTGAACACTGCTGCTTACTGAAGGGGTTGTATCAAAATAGCCCCCTCCCTACTCCACTAATCTTGGCCCCCTGACGTGATCCACCCACCCACTGTTAGGGCAGTCCCTGGGCTATCCAGGTAACCCAACCAAGACGGCAAGCCCCCTACCTTTTTGGACACTGGACTGGCCTGGTGCCAGGCTGTGCCTGGCGCCAGGCGAAAACCTAGTGACCAGACATTTTAACGAAATCAGACAGAAATATTAGATAATATTATTATTACAGCCTCATATTTTGCACATTCTCTTGACCTTATGTGGTAAAATGACATAATAGTGGGATAATAAATAACGATATTGATCCTTCTCCTCAAGTGTGAAATATAAGTATGGGGATTTTTACACTGTACATGTATTCAATAAGGAAAGTGATAATGTATAATTGTCACCTAGATACACAGCCTGGTGATCTGGGGCCATTCAAAGGATGTTATTCAGTACGAACTGTAAGGGTCAGCACTCGTTAACATCCGTCGAAAGGCCCTCTTATCTTCGGTCGGATTTCGTAAACGTATGACGTCACGCTCGCCTCGAAGTTCAATATGTGATTCATCTGCACTTCGATCGTCTGTATCCGACTTCTTTGATTTTTGGTGAGAGATTTTAATTTGTCCCACTTTTTGGATCATTCCTCGATTGATTCCAATCAATTCAAACAAGAAGATGCCACTGCCTCCGTGTGAAGGATGTTATTCAGTACGAACTGTAAGAATCACAATTGGAGTAGTAGTAAGAAGAGGCTTGAAACATCAAAACATCCTTCACACGAAGGCAGTGGCATCTTCTTGTTTGAATTGATTGGAATCAATCCAGGAATGATCCAAAAAGTGGGACAAAATCTTTCACCAAAAATCAAAGAAGTCGGATACAGACGATCGAAGTGCAGATGAATCACATATTGAACTTCGAGGCGAGCGTGACGTCATACGTTTACGAAATCCGACCGAAGATAAGAGGGCCTTTCGACGGATGTTAACGAGTGCTGACCTAGTCCCTAGGCCTCATTATTATGCGGGGCCGATGCGTTTCGGGTCACGTGGTCCGAAAAAGTTTTTGAGGCCTAGACAAACTCGGAGAAGTGAGACATTTTGTCTCAGTTGGGGCGGAGCTTTTGGAAGCGGGCGAGCTGTCAATAACTTTTCCGCGCCGATGAAAGATGTCCAGCAGCCACAGAGAGTACAGAGGAACGAGCATTTTTATTCCATGCACGTTTTCATTGTTGAAAGTCGTTTGGCCTTTCTTTTTCATTTATCTTATTAAACTAATTTGAACTTCATTTCATCTCAAAAACTATTTGTAGGCTAGGCAAAGCAGCGTCGCAAAAAAATTATTTGATCAAGAATCGGAAGGTAGGCTTAAGAAATAAGTCAAATAAGTTTATTCTTGGATATGACAAGCTACCTTTCGTGTCTCTATTTTCGCTTGCTCCTATAAATTTCTCGTTATCATTTCACTTCGAAATACTTTATGTAATTTAATTTTTGGATTTGGAAGCTTATCAAACTAATCGGACAGGCTGTTGAATTTGGTCTCTAAATTTGGTAGAATGTCAACAAACTGCGGTTCCAAATCTTTTATCAATAAAGACCATCGTTTTAATGGTTCATTTGAACATGGAATAAAAGAGAAATTACTTGCACGTTATACAGTAGTATTCTTTCCGATTCAAAGTAATATTTTTGTTCTTTTATAACACGAACTAGGTTAGTTACTTTTGTAATATTGTCAATAGTGCCGATCTTTAGAGAAGGATATTCACGCGCAAAGTTATTTATAGATTATTTCACTTGACCGTGTGAACTTTTCAAAAATGCTCTCGCATGCGCACTCCGAGATTGTCTAGGCGTCTCCCGGCCGTTCGTCTCGGATACGTCACCGAAATGCATTAACCGAGAGGGCCTGAAAAGACGCCGTACAGGGACTAGGCAAGAGAGCTCAGGAAGTAAAATTTTTCCCCCAGTGGAGCGGTGAGGGACAAAAATCCGTTATGAGCATGAGCAGTGATGTTTGTAACTTCTGTACATGCGCGACCGGATGTCAGAAATTTTCTGACATCCGGTAACGGCTGCTTCCAGAGCCCCTCGTTTCCCTACCACGTGACCAAGAAACGACGGGCTCTGGGGACGAGAATGCGCCACAGGAAGCTCAGGAGTGTTGTTGCGCATGCGTATACTTCGCAAACGTTCGCCAAAATGACTCCTGAGGTTTCGTTCAGTTTCACCAAGAGAGGATAAAGGGGACAGAGAAGGCATCCCCCATACACAGCCTATTCCATAGGTAATTCGTCTCGAGTTATTTTTAAGACCACAGGTCCCAAGGGGGATTAGACAACAGCCAATCACATAGCGCGAATGTGTTCCGCGTGGATGACCCACGCTCAGAGCCACGCGTCCTTCACGAATTGACGCAGAACAACTTGAAACTGGCGGAAGACGCGGAGAACGATATTGCTATTCGTTTTGTCGACGAAAACGACTACAGAGAGATTTCTACTAAAGCTGTGTCAGCGAAACGGAAATTACAAAAGAATCACCCTTCTTCTCTTGTATAGAGCTAACAATACAGCAGGGAAATCCTTAACACACTGAATATTTTGTCAGGATCATTTATAATTTACAGTTTGAAGACAGCGACTTCTGGTTTGATATTTATTCTTTTATTAGTCTTTTAATTATTATTCAAAAAAAATAACACTTGGCGTCCTACTTGCTTTATTGAACAAACGACCGGTTTCAATAGACCAGCGAAATTTCTCATTTTATTAAAGCACTGAGGTTACGACAACTTCGAGTTAAACTGATTTCACGGGTTGTCAAAGAGTCCAGCGATTGCCTTTTCCCAGGTGAGCGCCGACTCATTTCGCTTCAGTATTCAGGAATGCTCTCGATATCTTTACGCTTTCATTGCCTTTCGCCCGACATGTTTTGCACGGCGTTTATTCATGCGAAACCTCCACGAAACATCCACGCAGCGCGCGAGGTAACTTTATCCCAATTCTAAAAATAACTCGAGACGAATTACCTATGGAATGGGGTGTGTATGAGGGAATCCTTGTCTGAGTGGTATCCAAGATCAAGACGCACCCTATGAACGGGGGCAAAACTCTGTTCGGGTGGGTACAGCACGTCATGACAGTTAATATAGTTGCATTGTTGATATGAGTTAGGCGGGTGGGTTTTCTGGTCATTGTTAAGACAAAAAATGCCCAAACATTATCGAGAGAAAGAATTGTAGCCAACAAATACTGAAGGTTGTAACAATTAAAAGCAGCAGTCAAAGTCTGAAAAAAACACACCTTGCCTTTTTGTTAAAGGAAGAACGTTTGTTTTACAACTTCCTCTTTCAAGTTCGATTGAGAAGTAAATGATATAAAAACCGCATATTTTATGCATACGTGATAACATGCATTTTTAGTTTTGCCTTCAATTCCTGTTTAGCCTGGACTTAATGTCTTAAAGGCAGCTACGCCCCATAATGGGACTATCTGCATTTAGCAGACAAATTAGGCATTTCCATTGAAACATCTAAGACAAACATTTTTGGGTGATATTTTTTAACTTCTATTGGGCCGTTTAAATCTGACAACACTTGCATTTGTTAATAAAAAGAATAATGGCTTTACAACAAAGGATTGACAAGAAAAACACATTATAGTATATTTAATCGATTTTGCCTGGTTTTTGCCCGAAGCAAATATTGTCCGCGGCGCTTTTGAAGACTTTCCCGTCTCAGACAAAATTTAAAAATAGCGCGACAAACCATCCGCGTCATTTGTTTGGCTTTGACGATGACAGAAAATTTTTCCCAATTAATAAACAACTTTTTCGCTAATGAAAAAATTAGGCCCTATCTTTTCAATCGATTTCTTAATACTCTAGTTGGCTTAAAGTGAGTTGATAACTGACATCATTATACAAACTCACTTTTAGCAGCTGTGGTGAGGCTTCGCAGGGGACTTACAATTGCCAATAAAAGTTCTGAATCAAACAGGATACGCAATATACAGAGCAATAATTCAAAGTTGTTTGATTGCATACGTACAATTCCACAGATACGTCGCAAAGCTAAGCATGAACTCAACGGCGAACGGATCCAGCGGGTTTTGGAGCTGCTTAAATTTTTCTGCGTTGAAAATCGGAGGAACCGTTGCCTTTTGTCCGATCATCATCGTCTCACTGGTCGCAAACTCTCTAATTGTTATCCTCGTTTGTAAAACGCCGAACTTAAAAAAACCGATAAATTTTTTCATCGCAAACATGGCCTTGTCTGATCTGCTGACTCCAATGTTCTGGATGCCTTCGAACCTGTCCGACTTGCACACCAATTCCTTGTTTCTTATCGGTGGAAAGATTGGTCAGGCCTTGTGTAAGCTTCTCCCTTTCTTTATTAACTCTTCTTTTGCCGTTTCGATTCAGAATCTGATTCTGATAGCGGTGGATCGATTTGGAGCCGTGGTATTTCCACTCCGTTCACCAATCATCAGATCCAAGCTGTGTCCCTTCTTCATTCTCGCTACATGGATAGTTGCCGTTGCTGTCAATTCGCCAGAGTTGTTCACTTACGAGCTCGTTGAAGATCCGAAGGGAACCCGGTGTGTTGTGGAATGGAAGAAAGCATTCGGAGAGTCCTCATCCTATGGCAGTTTTGTACTAGCTTACGACATTCTGTTTGTATACATCCCTGTGCCGTTGCTAGTCATTCTTTACTCCATCATGGTTATCAAGCTCAAGACACAGGCACAACCAGGTGAACAGTCCGCGGACACTCAGCAACAGCGGGACAGAAGAAACAGAAACTTCAAATGTCCATTGCTATCGTAACAGTGTTTGTGCTTTGCTGGTTTCCTTACTCTATCAACTTTTTAATTCTATGGTATGAGGACAATTCCACGCATTTATCGTGTAGTTTCTGGATATACTATGAAGTCACCTTTTATATGGCTTGCGCGTACTGTGCTATCAACCCAGTTATCTGTTTCATGTTTAGCAGTAATTACAGAAAAGCTCTTAAAAGACTCATAAAATGTTCTTTTGTACAGGCGTAGGTCGCAAAATGTGCTTTTGGTTGAAGATGTTAAGAGTTAGGGGTTCGTGGAACACGCGTGAATAAATGTGTCATGACTTTCAATGTATTTTTAGTAGTAAAAATTATCGAAAAGGTCTTAGAAGACTCACGAAATGTTCTCTTGTACAGGAGTAAATCGCAATAAATGTGCTTTTGACTGAATATGTTAAGATTTAGAGGTAAGTGAAACACTCTTGAATAAAAAAAAATCACCACGACTGCCGTTGGCGTACTTAACTGAGGATTAAGTCTGGCATGATTGCGAAATATGACAGCATAGGCCACGTATTGTTAAAGGTTTGGTGGTAAATAAAACTCACGGACGGATATTGGGGGCGTAGGCAGGTGAAGTACAACTGTTCAACGAACAACTCTTAATTACTGCAGAACCGCGAAGTTATAGAAGAGGTTCTGCCGAAAAAAAGGAAGGAATAAAACGGACAATTATAAACATCTGTTGAAATTTTAGCACCACCCCAAGGTTTGACAGTAATGTTTACGTCGTCAAAAGAACTTGAGCAAAGAAAAAAAACCGCATGTTTTTGTGGCACCTACGCCGTTCGCCCATTGCAAAAAAGATACATGAACCTAAAAGTTACACAGGAAGTTTAAGCCATGTCGGTCTTAATAACAATTATTGTGCTAATTAAGGCCTCGCAAGGGACAAAAATTAAACTTTAAAACGTTTGAAACTTAACTGATGGCCGCGATGCATATACTGCGTTGTACAGAAGGCGACAGACAATGGCGGGCAATCCAGTCTTGGAACTGTTTCAAACGTCGATTTACCAAGAAGAGACAAAACTACAATAGTGATAAACTGTTATCGTTCGTAGAAGAGAAAATTTCCTGCGCTCTTGACCACAAGACTCCCTGATGACTCTTTTACACTTCCACGTGGGGCTAAGAGCCACATTAAAAATGTTCTTGGCCTGGCGTTGTATTTCTGCTATCTATTTGACGCCAATTTAACATACGTTTTCAAATGGGCGTTTTGAACACATTAGAATAAACTAACACCTCTACATTAGTGAAGAATTTAATGATAATAATAATAGTAATAATAATAATAATAATAACTTCATAAAAAATACAATCCTGGTATTTACATATACTGTTAAGCGATGAAAATGCAAGCAACAGAGGTTATACACTTCCAGAAAAGTCCTTCGTCCGATTTCATTTGCGCGGGCTATACAAAAGTGGATGCTCTTCAGTGGTTACTGTATGATATTGTTTAAATTTTGTTTAGAAACCAATTCTTTGTTCTCTCTCTTTGCTTTCCTTGGTTTTATATTGACTTCCAGTGGACAACTGAACCCAAGCTTGAAAGTGAAATTTAAGACAGAAAATCGATTTGACAAAGTAAATAACTCGAAGGTTGAATGTTAATGAGTTTTTCCTAGCCAATTACAAGACTTACTCAAGCATTGATATGAGTTTTAAAGCGTTTGAGTCACTCTGGTCATTATAAAAATGATTGCCACAGCGTTATCGAGCGATAAAACTGTAACCAACAATTCGTAACAATTAAAAGCAGTCAAAGAAGGAACAAGCCTCGTCTATTTGTTGAGTAAGAGCCTGCTAGTTTCCGTTTTCCGACAGCAGACTCCTACTTTTAGAATTTCCCGTTTTTATTTCGATCGAGAAGTAAATGATATAAAAACTGGCTGCTTCATGCACACATGATAGAAAGCATTTATTTTAAAAATTCGAATAATAATAATGGTATGAAATATCTCCTAGTAACTCTTAACTGTCTGTCTATTGTTGTAACTTCTGCTGTTCAGCACGTATTGCATTTTTAACTTGTAATCACACATCCATAAATAATTTATTGGAAAGTTTAGCCAATAAAAAAAGCTCAACACCTCGGTTCGGTAGATCGACTAATTGATCTGACATGATTTTCAAACTGTTATTTTAGTACCTTCCTCGCTCTCATTGTTTAAAATCTGTTTAGAAGCCAATACTTTGTTCTATAGGCGTACGGGCCGGGGGGGGGGGGGGGGAGGGGGGCTGCAGCCCCCCCAAATTTTGGGCAACTCAGATTTTTTGGGCAGCAAGAGAAAATTTCGGCAAAGCCAGGTTTTAAAGACGTTTCCATGTCTTTTTAATTATTATTTTGAAGAGATAAATATTTTATATTTTAATCTGACAAAAATCCTGACGTCGGCGTAATAATCCAGTTACATTCTCTCGAGACATTGGTTGGCTAGCACGTGATGAGTTTCTGGTTATTAGGAAAGGGTATCATACGTTGATTTACATATTTATAGTTTTTTACTTTTGAGCATTGTACTGCACTGCACTAACTGGAATGGGCTCTTTCCAGTCGTGAATTGATCCGAATAAACTCCCGCATATCTTTCTAGAATCATCTCCCGCTCGTAGAAGAGTGTATGGCAGATAGCATCAGCAATGGGTCTGAAAATGAAAAAGTGGCTGACTAGTTCTCAGTTCGATAACGGCCAAACATCAAGATTTTCCTTTCTTACCCTATTTCTAACGATAAAAACTTCATTCCAAAATATCTCAATAACACTCTCACAGTTTCCGTTTTAACTTCACGAACGTCGAGGCGACTATTTGAGGAAAAAGCTTCCGTGAACGATTTTGTAAGAACAGTTGCCTGTGCCGAGAAATATTACTGCAAGTAATATAGGCAATGGCCGCCTCATTTCGTTGCTATGACAACTCCGATGTCATTGCATTCCTGATCATGACAAATTTTCATCTTTATCTCATAAAACTGTGGTAGCAATTTTTCCAAATGTTTGTCTGTGGCGACGTAGTTATGCTCAGAATTGGGCGGTATTGACCCTGAAAAACTGTTACAGTATCGAGCCACCTTCATATCCCAGTGCGGCCTATGTTGTTGCATCGTATGACCCTCGTTTCTTTTCGACTGTACGTTTCGTAAAAATTCGGGCAACTTGCGAGAATTTTTTGGGCAAATGGTTTACCGCCCCCCCTGGCAAAAAATTTCCCGTACGCCTATGCTTTGTTCTCTCTGTTTCCTCTCCTTATTTTCTATTGACAGGACAACCCAACCTCAACCCCCTTTAAGGTGATATTTAAAACAGGAAATCGTTTTCACCAAGTAAATGATTCGAAAGTTCCATATATGCTAATAAGCTGCTCCTAGGCAATCGCGAAAGACTTCTCAGGTATTGATATGAGTTAAGCGGGGGAGTGGGGTTTTTTGTAAAGTGCCACATATAATAGACCTATTCGGCTAACTCAATGTTGTACCCAATTCAAATCTCCCGGGGTTAAGATTCACTGTGTATTGTATTTCCATCATAATGTGGCATTCTCATTTAAGTAATGATCCAGGTAAGAAGGAAAGCAATTTCTATTGTTGTGGCGCAATACGCTTTCCTCACAAAGAAATGTTTTCATTTTTACGCAGAGAGTGCATAAATCTACAAAAAGGCTGTTTACGAAAGAAAATGTATTTAAACCCCACTTTTAAAGGGTGTATTTTTGTGTTAAAACATTTCGACCAATCACAAGAGTTGCAAACAATGGCCAAGAAATGTTCACAATTTTACATGATCCGCACATACGATTTCTGTGTTACAAGGGCTCAGACGAGATTTTGTTATAAGGAAGTTGGATAGAAAAAAAAGGATTGATGTACATGCTGCTTTGCGAAGATTTCGTAAAATTTGATGTTTAAACCAATCAGAACCTTAGTAGAGACAATAGTAAAGTTAGCACCTTTTTGCATTCCGACGTGTTCACTGCGTTTTGGTCCTTTCCTTCTTATCTGGACCATTACTTAAATGTATGGAAATTCCTGAAACAAAAAGTTTTATTCCCAAAGGGTTTGAATTGGGTACAACATTGAGTTAGCCGAATAGGTCTATTGTACTAGCGGCAGAAGGTTCGTAAAAGTCAAAGGGAGTAAAAGAAGTAACAAGCCTTGTATTTTTGTTGAAGAAGAACCTATTAATTCTTAGTTAGACTGGAAAACCCAAACGTAACCCCCTTTAAGGTGATATTTAAAATAGGAAATCGTTTTCACCAAGTAAATGATTCGAAGGTTCCATATATGCTAATAAACCGCTCCTATAGCCAATCGCAAAAGACTTCTCAGGTATTGATATGAGTTAAGCGGGGGAGTGGGGTTTCTTGTGAAGTGCCACAACGTTATCGAGCGATATTATTGGAGCCAGTAAGTACAGAAGTTCGTAAAAAAATCAAAAGCGGTAAAAGAAGTAACAAGTCTCGTGTTTTTGTGGAAGAAGAACCGATTATAGTTTAGCCTAGACTTTTGGTTTCATAATTTCCCATTTTTTGCTCGATCGAAAGCAAATAGTATAAAAACTGCATGTTTTATGCACACTTGATGAATATGCACTTTTTTTACCTCATATTTATCTGCTAATTAGCCTGGGCTTAATTGCTTCAAGGCAGCTGCGCTCGAGTTTACTGCCAAATTGTGCACTTTATGATCGTGTTGCCAAAGAAAACATTAGTAAAATTAGCAATAAGGATGTATTTTCACCTATATTTTCAACAGTTTTAGAGCTGCTTCAAACAGTTTACAGAGAAAAGACAGAACTGCAAGTGGTGACAAATCATAGTGTTCATCATAGATGAAAAACTTTCCTGCCCTCTGGATCGCAAGAGCTTGATCACTGTTCCTCTGCAGGCAGCACAAAAATTTCCTCGTGACCGGGGCTAAAAAAGCTAAGAGCCACATTAATGGATACTTAGTAACTCTACTTCTTGACGTTGTATTTTTAGTATTTATTTTACACAAATTCCCTGAACATACGTTTTGAAACGGGCGTTTTGAACACATTAAATACACTAACAGCTCTTCGTTACGCTTCCTCGATAATCGATCTTAAAATACCTTTCGTCGTGATCTGAATTTTACGGAAATTACTTATCTATCTTTGCTAGTGTGTTAGTTTTTCCTTGTCGTCGATCGAATTTAAGCAGTTGATGATTTTTCAATGAAACAAAGATAAAAAAAATAATGATGGTATGGAATATCTCCTAGTTATTCTTAAGAGTATATGTTAAGATTAAGTTAAACATGTACTGTTGTATCCTCTATTGTCTGGCACGTATTGCCTTCTGTGGAAAGATCTATCCTTCCTGAATTTGCCGCTTACCAACTAATCACTTAATTAAAATATGGAAGCTTAAAGGGTTCAGGAGTAAATAGTCTGCACCGTTCCATATGAAAGGAAATTGACTCGATCTGTCCATAGTTAATTTATGCAAAAGTCTAGCCAATTTATTTTCGATTAACACCTTCTATAGATCGACTAACAGACATGATTTTGAAACTGTAATTTTGATAATACCTTTCTTCCTGTTATTGTTTAAATTTTGTTTAAAAGCCAATACTTTGTTTCTCTCGTTGCTCCCCCGCCCGTGTTATTTCGACTGGGCAACCAAAGCTTTTAAAGGGCTTAAAATAGAAATTAAGAAAGAATTCTTTCAGACAAAGTAAATAACTCGAAGGTTCAATGCTAATGAGTCTCTCCTAGCAAATTACAAAAGGCTTACTTAGGCATTGATTAGTTACCATAAATGATCTAATAACTAACTAACACCCCCTTTCAAACAAACGCCTCTTGGCTCATTTAATAAGCGCCGCTCTATAATATTATGTTTGCATTAGACGCCCTCGCTAATAAAAATCCTTTGTCTTGTAGACGCCCCCATGAAAATTATTTCAAAAATTATTAGAAATTAGCAAAAAAGAGCAAAATCACTCAAATTATTCAGTTGCCTGCTTGATTAACAAGACTTGGAGCATGGCATCTTGTTCAGTGCTTTAAAGTTCCATATCATGTAAAAGTTCGAATTGATTAGAGATGACATTACATTGACCCTTAACGAGGATTCTGACATATATAGAAGTTGAGATTTGAACCAGCGCGGATAAGGATCTCTAGACGGCCTAGCTAGGCGTAACAATTGATAGACAGGATATTCCTCTCTTGACATTTCCGCCGAAAGCATATTAGTTTTGCAAATTAGGCTGCTACACAAATGACAATAAACTGCCATCTTTTAAACGACTCTTGGAACCCTAAAATTATTAAACGTCCTAGGCGTCTATGAGATCATTTACGGCATTAAAGCGGGTGGGTTTTCTGGTCATTATATAAAAATGAAGTGCCACAACATTATCGAAAAAGACAACTGTAGTCAACAAGTACTGAAGTTTGTAACAATTAAAACTGAGCAGTCAAAGGGAGTCTGAACAAGCCTTTGTCAGAAGAAACTGCTAGTTTCTCTTTGCCGACAAAACACTTTTGGTTTTTTACCTTTTTAGGTCGATCGAGAAGTAAATGTTGTAAAAAATTCATGTTTTTAATTATGCACACGTGATAATATGCACTTATTTTTTCCTCATGTTCACCTGTTAAGCCTGGGCTTAATGGCCTGAAGGCAGCTTCGAATTCGCCTCTGCTTCCTGTGGTTAACTGTCAAACTTGTGTAGTTGATGATACACTACCAAAGATATCATTTTTTAATGTGTTAAAACACACTTGTTTAATAAGTCTCAGTCGATTTCTTAATACAACCACATGACCTAAATGAAGTTTTCTGAATGGTTTATAACATTTTAATACCCCACTGTTTCAATTTTGTCAAAAGGTCGGTTGGCGGATAATGCCGGAACATTACAAACAAACTCAGTTATTGAAGGCCTCACAGGACAGCTCTGCTGTGGCTTCGTAGGGGGCTTGCAATTGTCAATAAAAGTTCTGCCACTCAAACAGCATACGCAATATACAGAGCAGTAATTCAAAGTTACTTGACTGCATGTATACGACTCTTTAGATACGTGGCAAAACTCAGCATGAACTCAACGGCGAACGGATCCAGCGGATCTTGGAGCTGCTTCGATCAGTTAAATTCCACTGCTTCAAAACTTGGAAGAACCGTTACTCTCTCTCTCTCTGATCTTTATCGTTTCACTGGTCGCAAATTCTCTCATTGTTATGATCGTTTATAAAACACCGAACTTAAGAAAACCGATAAATTTTTTCATCGCAAACATGGCCTCATCTGATCTGCTGTATCCAATATTCTCGATAACTTGGACGCTATCGAGGTTGCACACCAACTCGTTTCTTATCGGTGGAAAGCTTGGTCAGGCGTTGTGTAAGCTGGCTTTCTTTGGCAACGTCTCCACTACTGTTTCGATTGAGAATCTGATTCTGATAGCAGTGGATCGATTTGGAGCCGTGGTATTTCCACTCCGTTCACCACTCATCAGATCCAAGCTGTGTCCTTTCTTCATTCTCGCTACATGGATAGTTGCTGTAGCTTTCAATTCGCCAGACTTGTTCACTTTCGATCTCGCCGAATACCCAGAGGGAACCCGGTGTGTTGTGAAAGGGAAGAAAGCATTCGGTGAGTTCTCATCCTCTGCCAGTTTCCTACTAGCTTTCTACATTCTGTTTGTATACATACCTGTGCTGTTGCTAGTCATTCTTTACTCCATCATTGTTATCAAGCTCAAGACACAGGCACAACAGGGTGAACAGTCAGCCAACACTCAGCAACAGCGGAACAGAAGAAACAGAAACGTGCTTCAGATGTCCATTGCCATCGTAACAGCGTTTGTGTTTTGCTGGTTACCTTACTCTATCAACTATTTAATCACAGAGTATCAGGACAGGTTCACGCATTTATCGTGTAGTTTCTGGATATACTATGAAGTCACCTTTTATATGGCTTTCGCGTACTGTGCTATCAACCCAGTTATCTGTTTCATGTTTAACAGTAATTACCGAAAAGCTCTTAAAAGACTCATAAAATGTTCTTTTGTACAGGCGTAGGTCGCAAAAATGTGCTTTTTGTTGATGATGTTAAGAGTCAGAGGTTCGTGGAACATGCGCGTGAATAAATGTATCATGAATATCAGTGTATTTTTAGTAGTAATTATCTAAAAGCTCTTAAAAGACTCATAAAATGTTCTTTTGTACAGGCGTAAGACGCAAAAATGTACTTTTGATTGAATATGTTAAGGAACACTAGTGAATAAAAAACACCACGACTGCCGTCGGCGCACTTAACTGAGGATTTTAAATAAGATGTGTTCACTTTAAATCTTCCATGACGGCGAAAAGTGACAGTATAGGCCTAGTATTTTAAAAGGTTGGGTGGTAAATAAAACTCAGGGACGGATCTTTAGAAACGTTATTGGGGCTGTAGGCTGGCGAAGTACAACTGTACAACTAACAACTGTTAATTACTGCGGAACCGCTAAGTTAAGGGAAGAGGTTCTGCCGAGAAAAAATAAACGAATAAAAGGGACAATTATAAACATCTGTTGAATATTGAGCGCCACCCTAACGTGTGACAGTATTTTTGCGTCGTCAAAAGAAGCAAAGAAAAAAACTGCATGTTTTTGTGGCACGTACGCCGTTCGCCCACTGCAAAAAATACAATCCAAAAAGTTAAACAGGAAAGTTAAGCGGCAAGGTGTTGTCTTTTACATAAAATCAATTAAATGATATTGCCCCTTCTAAATGTCTTTTTAGACATTTTGTCGCTTTATAAATTTTGATCACCTATGTTTAAATACATAATGGGTGTATTTCTACATGCAAATAATATGTATCACACCAGTTTAAAATGTCCACTCTTATTGGTTTGTAAATATCTTCTCAATCGATTTCTAAAAACAACCATTCAATGGCTTTAAAGTAGCATTCATTAGTCTGTTCAGCTTGAAAAGACGGCCATATTGTTCTTAATAACAACTATTGTTTTCAGGCTTCTCAAGCTGATATAAAAATTAAAGTTTAAAAAGTCGGAATCTTAACTGATTGCCGCGGTGAATACTACGTTGTACAGAAGGAGCGCAGCAAACATAAAACTCGACAATGGGAATGGATTGATCCAGTCTGGCAACTGCTTCAAACAGTTTGCCGAGAAACGACAGAACTACAATTATGGTCATAAATTGCTAGTGTTCGTAGTTAAAAAAAGAATTTCCTGCGCTAGTAGTAATAGTGGCTCAACCGGCTGGTAATCAATCACGGAGCAGTATTCTATTGTCTTCTCCAAAGGAGAACAATGGAAACAATGAAACTCATTTATTTTCAGTACTTTGAACCAATCACAGAGCAGCATGGGCATTGACGTCATTCATGTAATAGTCAGCAAAAGAACGTGTTATAATTTTCGCACGGGTCAGCCCCTTTTATTTATTTTTATTTGTGGACCCGATTTTGCAAAGGCAAAGAAATCTACACAACACAGTATTTCCAGTCATCGCAAATTATTTTATTCACCTCAAAGATAGCCTCCCACGTAGACGTTCTTAGGGGTGCAGGAACGCGTGACGAACCCCTAAGAACGTCTGCGTGGGAGGCTACCTCAAAGAGTATATCATTGTACACAATATACTGACTGGACAACCCAACCTTAACCCCCTTTAAGGTGATATTTAAAACAGGAAATCGTTGTCACCAACTAAATGATTTGAAGGCTCCATATATGATAATAAGCCGCTCCTATAGCCAATCACACAAAGACTTCTCAGGCATTTATATGAGTTAAGCGGGGGAGTGGGGTTTCTTATCAAGTGTCACATGTAATTGTAGTACCGGCAGAACTCGTAAAAATCAAAGGGACTAAAAGAAGTAAGAAGACTTGTATTTTTGTTGAAGAAGAACCTATTAATTCTTAGTTAGACTGGAAAACCCAAACTTAACCCCCTTTAAGGTGATATTTAAAATAGGAAATCGTTTTCACCAAGTAAATGATTTGAAGCTTCCATAATGCTAATAAGCCTCTCCTATAGCCAATCACAAAAGACTGCTCAGGTATTGATATGAGTTAAGTGGGGAAGTGGGGTTTCTTGTGAAGTGCTCAACACATTAAAATACAGTAACAGCCCTACACTAGTAAAGAATTAATAACAATAATAATAATAATAACTTATTAATAATAAAAACGAACAATCCTGATATGTACCGTTAAGCAATGAAAATGCAAGCAGCAGAAGTTTTAGACTTGATTTCCCTTAGCCTTATTCGGTTCTCCTTTATGTTTAAAATTTGGTTGATGCTCCTCTTACTCCTCGAACACAGGGGTTCCAGCCTCGCCCTTCGTGTTGTTTCCTTAGACAAGGAACTTCACTATCCACGTTTTCTCTGTTCATCCAGGTGTATAAATGGGCAACGGCGACATACAGCTGGGGGGTAACCCTGAGATGGACTAGCATCCTGTCCAGAGGGGAGAAGCAATACTTCTAAACATGCTTCATGCTGAGGAAACCGGGATAATCTCCGACCGTTTGGACCTTTGGCTCGTTCGCGCGTTAACCTTACGTTACCTTTAGAGGTCGCTGCATGATAAATTAACTAAGGGATATTTTATGAGGATTCAGTGTTAGATATCACAAAGATACATTTATTAATTGTTTAAATTTACGCTGCATTTTCAACGTCTAAAATAGTGATTAAAAAAAACCTTCTCCTTTCATGAATTCGTTGTAATGAACAACTCAAAAAAGACCGATAAATTGTGTATTTCTTATGTGAATTCTTTACGCTTCTTCGGGAATCGATCTAAAAATACTTTTCGTTGTGATCTGAATTTTGAGGAAATTACCTATCTATCCTCCTTATTTATGGCGTTTTCATCTAGTGTGTTAGTCTTTCCTTGTTGTCGATCGAAGTTAAAGACTAAGTTAAGCAGTTGATACTTTTTAAATAAACAAAGATAAAAAAATAATAATGATGGTATTGAATATCTCCTAGTTATTCTTAAGTGTATATGTTAAGATTGACATCTACTGTTGTAACTTCTGTTGTCTGGCACGTATTGCCTTCTGTGAAAAGATCTATCCTTCCTGAATTAGCCGCTTACCAAATAACCACTTCATTAAAATATGGAAGCTCAAAGAGGTCTGGAGTAAATAGTCTGCACCGTTCCATAAGAAACAAAATTGACCCGTTCTGTCCGTAGTTAATTTATGCAAAAGTCTAGCCAATTATTTTCGATTAACACCTTCTGTCGCAGGAATTTTTTTTTGTCATGTCCTTGTATGAATTTTTTTTAGGCCATAGCATGGATATCTTTTAGGGTTAATTGGCGTGCAAGAATTTTTTTCATTTAATTTCCCCTTGCGCGAATTTTTTTTTTTTTACTTCGCCCCCCCCCCCCAATAAGTTTTCTAATGGTCCGTCCCTTAGTACCTTTCTCCTTGTTATTGTTTAAATTTTGTTCAAATAAACGCCTCTTGGCTCATTTAATAAGCGCCGCTCTATGATATTATGTTTACATTAGACGCCCTCGCTAATAAAAATCCTTTGTCTTGTAGACGCCCCCATAAAAATTATTTCAAAAATTATTAGAAATTAGCAAAAAAGAGCAAAATCATTCAAATTATTCAGTTGCCTGCTTGATTAACAAGACTTTAAGCATTGCATCTTGTTCAGTGTTTTAAAGTTCCATTTAAAAGTTCGAATTGATTAGAGATGACATTACATTGACCCTGAACTAGGATTCTGACATAGAAGTTGAGATTTGAACTGGCGCAGATAAGGATCTCTAGACAGCCTATCTAGGCGGTAGCAATTGATAGACAGGATATTCCGCTATTCATAAGCTCTCGTGATATCATTTTTTGTTGTTTAATCATCTGCTCAATCGAATTCTTAATACAACCAACTGACCTAAAGGACGTGTTCTGGTTGGTTTATAACATACTAATATAATACCCCAGTGTTCTGTCAAAAAGTCTGTTGGCGGATAATGCCGGAACATTACAATACAAAGATAATTTTTGAAGGCCTCAGAGGACAGTTGTGCTGTGACTTCGCAGGGGGCTTACAATTGTCAATAAAAGTTCTGACTCAAACAGCATACCCAATATACAGAGTAGTAATTCAAAGATTCTTGACAGTATATGTAAAATTCCGAAGATACGTCCCTGAGCTAAGCATGAACTGCAACGGCGAACGGATCCAGCGGATCTTGGAGCTGCTTAAATTTTTCTGGGTTGAAAATCGGAGGAACCGTTTCCTACTGTCTGATCATCATCGTTTCACTGGTCGCAAATTCTCTCATTGTTATCATCGTTTGCGAAACGCCGAACTTAAAAAAACCGATAAATTATTTTATCCCAAACATGGCCTCATCTGATTTGCTGTATCCAATATTCTCGATACCTTTTAAATTGTCACTCTTGCACGCCAACTCGTTCCTTATCGGTGGTAAGCTTGGTCAGGCCTTGTGTAAGCTCGTCCCTTTCTTTGGTGGCGTTTCCTTTTCCATTTCGATTCAGAATCTGATTCTGATAGCAGTGGATCGATTTGGAGCCGTGATGTTTCCACTCCGTTCCCCACTCATCAGATCCAAGCTGTGTCCCTTCTTCATTCTTGCCACGTGGATGTTTGCCATAGTTTTTATTTCGCCAGACTTGTTGGCCTTCGAACTGGTTGAATAGCCGGAGGGAGGCAGTTGTGTACGGAGATGGAAGAAAGTATTCGGAGAATCCTTGTCCTTTGCCAGTATCCTACTAGCTCACAACATTCTCTTTACCTACATCCCTGTGCTGCTGTTAGTAATTCTTTACTCCATCATCTTTATCAAGCTCAAGACACAGGTACACCCAGGTGAACAGTCAACCAACAATCAGCAACAGCGGAAAAGAAGAAACAGAAACGTTCTTCAAATGTCCATTGCTATCGTAACAGCATTCGTGCTTTGCTGGTTACCTTACAATACTAACTATTTAATCATAGAGTATCAGGACAGTTCTGCCCATTTATGGTGTAGTTTCCAGATTTACTATAATGTAACCTACTTAACAGCTCCATAATGTAACCTACTTTCTGATACACGCTTACTGTGCTATCAACCCGATTATCTGCTTCATGTTTAGTAGTAATTATCGCCAAGGTGTAAAAAGACTCATGAAATGTTCTTTTGTACAGGCCTACGTCGCAAAAATGTGCTTTTGATATGCATGAATATGTCAAGAGTTAGAGGTTCATGGAAAAACTATCATGCCTGTTAATGTACTTTGAGAATAAAAATGTGTTCGAGTTTATGTCCCCCTGCCTCTGCCCTGCCGTGACTACGAAGAGTGACAGCATAGGCGACGTATTGTAAGAGTTTGGGTGGTAAATAACAATGCTGGATTCAGACCTTGAGATAAGGGGGGGTCCAGGTCATCCAGATTCTTAGATGGGGGGGGGGCGGTCTCCAAAGAAAATTTTTTTGGCCCTTCAGGTCTCGGTTTGGTCTAAAATAATGGGTGACCCGGGCCCCCCGGGCCCCTCCTTTGGATCCGCCACTGAATAAAACTCAGGGATGGACCATGCACCCTCTCAGCAGCAGAGCTCTTCCTTTGCTCGCCGCTTGATCACTTGGTGTCACTCAGCAAATTAGGAGGTACTGCTCGCAGGGTGAGATGGACTATTAGAAACGTTATTGGGGAGGGGGTGGGTGAACTACAAAATAAATATTCATGCAAGAGGGAAATAAACTGAAAAATAAAAAGAAATGTTAACAAAAATAGTTTAAAATTTCCACGCATATATATGCCTGGTCTCCAAATGTCTTTTCAATGATCGATTTCTAAATACAACCACAATGGCTTTAAAGTATTCATTAATCTGCTCAGCTTGAAAGCTGAGCTTTAATCTGCTTCAGCTTCATTAATCTGCTCAGCTTCCTACTCTTCACTTTTCCGATGTAGTATAGCAGGGGCGGCAGTTCCTTTTTCCTTTTTTCCGCCCCGCCAACATTTCGCCTGCCTTTTCCCAATATCTGAGAGCCTGGAGGAAAAACTAATAATTCTACTATAAGTTTTAGCGAGAATAGAAGCAAAAACAAGAATGATCACAATGTTGTGATCAGGAAAGGGCTTAACCTCCTTTACTAAATATAACAGTGCTAACTTTTTGGTGAAAACAAAAGTACAATGCAGCTTTCCGGGGTGTCTATTTTTGGAAAAATATGTGAAAAAAAACTTTAAACATCTAATACTCATAGTCGTTCTTGTCCTTGAATCTTTAAGTCTCTGATGTTTTACAAAAGTAGGTGGGTTAACAACAGAAACAGGCAGCAAAGACATAAATTTGTGTGGTGGTTAAGTGTTGACCAGGTGGCATATATTACACTGAAAGTGGCAAAAAGGGCCATTTTTTGCACAAAACCGTCCCCTTGCAGAATGGCAAACAACGCAGTGGGACCTCGAAAGTAAGGATTCATATAAGCTTTTTGAATGATGTATAATCACTTTGTTTTTCTTTCCCCTCTGTGCCGTTTGCCATCCAGCGAGGTGTTTTTTTGTGTGATGTGACCATTCCACGCAAAGGGCCCATTGCCAGATGATGGATTACTTTGGTTGGGCTGTACTGCCGCTATGAATTCAATGTTTCTTAGTCCATTGTGAATATTCTTGATGCAATATCAGAAATGATCCAATCAATGCCATCCAACAGCTTTTCTCCTGTTACAGCGCTGCACCACTGAATGTTCCAGTGATGTGTCTTAATGGCTTCCAGATTAAGGGCCTACAAAAAGGAAACAAATACAGCTGTAAACAGTTAGAGTACATTAACTCCTATTCATGTTTGGTGCCATTCTCCACAGACAGCCTGTGGAGTCATACAGAGTGAGCATGGGTAATGAGAAACTGATCGTTTTGATACAAGTTGTTTAGATGGAACCTCAAGCATTGAAATTGCATAAAAATTTTGATCACTTCAAGTATAGTCTGCACATGAACGAGAAAAACATTAATTTTGGGCTGAATATTCTTTGTTCCTTAAGCCAAGGAAACGAAACTATCTACACCTTGACTGAATAAACTTGTATCAAAATGACTTGTATCCGAATGAGTTTGTATCAAAATGACTGGTAAACCTTGGTAATGTGGCCCTGGTTCATAGCCCAAGGGCATAAGACAGGTGGAATGGCAACAACTGACACAAGGATCAATGGACTGAAACTGCAGTGACAGCAACCAAAGACAACCACAAAGTAATAAAATCTATTTTAGTACACAGGGACATGACTTCCTCTTCAAATGTAAAATTCACGCTAGGCACATTGATTCTCCCCAAACTCCATCCCCCTAATCCATAAAAGGACCTTGAGATATTATATTATCTGCTAATTCATCTGAAACACTAGAGAATTCGCTTAATGTGCAACTGATCTACAGACATTACTTACAACTCATCAGGCACAATTAAACTTACATCTTTAATTTCTTCTGCTGATAATGCACCAGGAAGGTCCTGCTTGTTTGCAAAAACTAACAGCGTAGCACCTGCGAGCCTCTAGTTGAGCAAAAAAACAATTCAGCAGTCAGTATCCACAAGATTGCCTGTTAAGGTCATTGTCTCAGTTTTGGTTTTTAAAATCAGACAAATGCCATGTGAAAAATACAGTCAATTCTCATTTTGCAGACACCTTGTGATTTCAGACACTCAGACATGCAGCAGGTTAATCAACAGCAAAATAAATTAAGATGTTTTGATGAAATTAACCCCTGCTATTATAGACTCTCGCAATCGAGGATGCTACCTTGAAGTCCCAAGGGGTTTAAGTCAATAAACAGGGATCCATATTCCCATTTGTCTGGTTGTCCCAGACGACTACAATCTCGTAACTTCAAAAGTCTCCCTTGGGACCAGTGAGGTTTTGCTCAACCACAAAATCTTTTGAAAAATTCTTATAAGATTTTATACATTTTCCCTGTGTTCTGATTACTTCTCATCCCTGATGGTGTAGAATTTATCTATGAAACAATTGCAGGTTCAGTTTTTTGTGAGGCCATTCACAGAAAACGTGACATTTCACATCAAGATGCACGGCATTTTTTCCACAGAAAAAAAGGTGAAGCAGAAGCCGATGCCTTATAAGCATCAAGATGTGACAGTTTATAGAAGACGTTTCGCTGCCTTCAACGGAAAAAAGTGGTGACACAGGAGCCGCTGCCTTATATGGGAGAAAACATATTCCATAAGTGCACCATAAAAAAAAAAACTGACTGACTGTGGTGTGACTACTTGTAAAACGTAAATAAACCGTGTTTAGCCTAGGCCTGTAGCCTGTTGTACTTAACAGTTCAGTTAAAACCCTTTCTTTGCAACTATAATGGAAATAAAATGCTAATCAGAAATGTTCAAGTTGCACACAATTTTTTCACCATTCTTTTACACAATTCTGCACTTTTGTCCCAGCGGGCAACCCAAATAAAATTTGTAACCCAACAAGTATGCCATCAGGCTTACTTGCCCGGCTGACGACTCTGAGAAAAAATGAATGTGGATCCCTGATAAACATGTGGTACCTCTTCTAGAAGGAGTCCCTTTAATTCCTCTTTGCAATCAGCAAGTCTGCGCCTGTCAGCACTGTCCACTACCCATATTAAGCCATCAGTGCTTTCAAAGTAATTTCTCCAGTATGAGCGAAGGGACTTCTGTCCACCAACATCCCAAATATTTAACTTAAATCTGTGGGTGGCAATAGATTGTTTTTCTATTAATGAGGGAAAGTTCATATTTTACCCATATACAGTGTAGCAGTTGCAGTGATTTGGTGTACATGTGGCATTAAAAATGTTCATGTTTTTAAAAAGTGATGGTGACATAAGTTGCATGGCCCTTAGCTTGCTGTCACACCTTAAACCCTTCATGGCCTACTAGTTGGAAGTACAGTCCAGGACAGTGAGTACAATATCTCAGTCTATATTTTAAACATCGGTTTCGGAGATTACTACTTGTCTGGCTGTAGTGTATTTCAAAACTCTGAGAGAATTTAAAGTGCCCAGGGTTTGGAAAACTAATGTAACCATACTTCAAAACCTTGAAGTGTTTTCCTATTGTACCAGTCAAAGCGAAGCTTCAACATCCCCTCCCAAGCAACCACCAGGGTATAAATTTCCAATACATGTAGGCCAATTTAAGGTGATCAAATGTCCCACCCTTGGGAAATTACAAAGTTTGTATGATTTATGCCAATCCACCATGATGCCACAACCTTGCCTTTTGAAATCATCTAATCTCCCTTTGTCCTCCTACAAGCTCCAAGACATACATACATTACATGTATCATGTGAAATTGAAGCTAAGGTTCAAGTTCCCCAACCCTTAACCATGGTTACCAAATTTCCCACCCCCATGAAAATTATGACAATCAAATTTCCTCCACCACAGAATGAAAAAGTGTTAAATGCCCTGGGTATGCCCAAGAGGGGGAGGGCAGGGGGGTGCTGAAGCTTCGATTTGACAGATGTGAAGTAGAAGAAAAATTTCTGATGATCTTCACGCAAGTCATACTCACTCTCTATGCTCAAGGGTTTTGATGTTAAATCCTAACGTGGGTTCAATTGTGTTAATATCTTCCCCATTAAACTTCTTTAAAATTGTTGTTTTGCCAGCGTTGTCAAGACCTCTGTCAACTGTGTCAAGGAAGTGACATCAATACTAATTTTCTAACATAAGCTTTTAGCTCCTAATAGACATGGTCACAGTTTTGGAAGCCATCTTGACAAGTAGGAAACCACGTGAGAAAATACAGTGTTTGTATGAGAATCACAGTTTATGTCGAATAATATTTCTATAAAACAGCTGTTCTGAAAAAAATATGAATTGTTGAGCTTCTCTCCTTTCGATTCTACTGAAAAAATTGATTTTCCTGGGAAAAATTGCAGAGGCAAGTACAGTTGCATATGGATAATCTAAAGCAAGCATCTGGACAAAATAATTTAAGCCCAGTTACGGCCCCCAAAATTTGTCAGTAAAATCTTTTGCTGTGTAACTTTAGTTTGCAATTCATATTTTTTTCAGAACAGCCATTTTTCGGAAATCATTCAACACGATATTCTCTTACAAACACTGAAATTTTTTTTCATGGGGGTGCCTACTTGTCAAGCCCAGGGGGGGGGAGGAGGCTTCCATATGAAAGGGAAGGGGATGCTTGTCGGAAATTTTGAATTAATCCCCTAAAGGAGACCAATCTGGACATGGCCCATCCTTTTTTTGACCCCTAAAAGAGACCATTTAAAACTCTGATTACATGAATCGAGGAAATAAAACAAATTGAAAATGAATAATTTTGTAATGTTTCTTCACGTGCAACCCTGAATGAGACGTTTATGGCTAAATATAATGGCGTTTTGCCCAGAACACCCCAAGTGAGACCAAAATCCGAAATTGACAACCCTAAGCGAGACAACAAGCATCCCCGCCCCTTTGATATGGAGTCCCCCTCCCAGCCCGGGTCGTCAAGATGGCTTCCAAAACCGTGACAAGCACTGACAAGGTCTATTGGCCTCACAACATTGATGAATATCCACCACTTTTCTCCAGATCACTGAATGAGAACGCTAAATTTCAAAAGCGTCCTTCTAGAAAACCTTGAGAGATTCTTTGATGACTGGAAAGGTTTAACCTTAATTCTAAATTAAAATCTCTTTCTTTTGACGTTTGGTTTAATTTACCAAAAGGTTTATACTAAGGATACAGCATTAAAATTCTCATCTCCTTCTCCTTTTGTTTCATCTTCTTTAAAATAGTCAGCAACCCCATGGTTTTCACCCTCTTTATCGTCCTCGTCCAGTGACACAGCGATGTTTTAATGCCATAACAACTGACTCAGCCAAAAAGCAAATCCTCCATTTTCCTTGCTCAATGTCACACTTCAGTGCCAATACATGAATAGAGTTACTAAGCATTAATTTTTCGCACCGCATACCAGTTTATATTTTTCTCATATAATCCAAGATGGCGGCCGATGGCCGGACTGGCGTTCGCCTGTCGGTTGCTTCACAGTTCTTCAATAACGCAGATGTTGACACTCTTGTCGCTTCAGGAGAGTATTCTGCTGAAGATTCAACGTCAGAGAAGGTGAGTTGCTGAAAGAGCAAGGCGCCAAGAAATTTTTGGAATTAATTTCTTGCACGGCACGTGCGTATGGAAACAGCGCTCTTACAGCATGGTACACTTCAGTGTTCTAACTTGTCTGAAACATCAAGCCTGAGTTATTTATCAAAGGAAAAATATTTTTTTTAAAAAATTGCCAGACGTAAAATGATATGTCTTCCGTGTTTGAAACAACGTAGTAGTAAGCTCAGAGGAAACAAAATACCCATCATTTTGAAATCGGGCTTACAATCACATAGCTTTAATTAAAACATGTACTTTATTTATTCAGGTGATTGACTTACTTAATCAAGCCCAACTTGAAAAGGAAAATAAATTGAATTGCTTGAAACAGGTATGACTTAACCTTGTGTGTTTTACTTCTAAAGAAATAAACATGCATTGTCAGACAATGTCATTAAGGATTACTGTACTGCCAGATCAAAAAAATATGAGTGTTTGTGTCTTTATTATTTGTTTATTTTGATTTTTCGTTAAATTCAAAGGTTTTAATAGTAGCCCTTAATAAACATGTTACATCAGATGAGCAAATTTTGGCTGGTGCTCAAATTACCAAATAGAAGAAAAAATAATGTTCACTTGCCAAAAATCGGCCTGTTAAAGCAAATTGGTGGCGGGAGATATAAGCATTTTTATGTGAATCTTGTTATTCTCCAATGACTCCTTGTTATAAATCCTTCTAAAACAGGCCTTGATTGTAAATGTAAAGGTGCTTATACCCTGTCTTTCCCCACTAATTTTGCACTAAAATGCTGATATTTTGCAAGTTGCAAGGGTTTTTTTATCTTGCTCTTTATGAATGTGCCATTTAATCCCTAGCCTACAAATACAGCCATTTCTCCTAGCTCCTCACTGCCAGGGACATTTCGCCAGAAGAACCTCTGTGAATCAGCGACAGAAATTCCATACTGTTGATGTAAATCAATGTGTACATAATACATTTGCCAGTTATGGGGTTCCAAATGTAAAATCTGTTTGATTTTATGTTTCTCCTGGTCAATTATGGTAAAGTTTTGTGAACTTTTGCAAAGGAGCTCCAGCAAAACTCAGATGCTTTTTCTAAAGAATAATATATTTTAGGAATATTGACTGATTTGTAGTAGATTCATTACGTTTACATTTGACCTTTGTGGCCTTTTGTCTTTTTTCTGTCATTCGTGAACAATATGTAAAACAATTTAACCACTATGTCAATCAATCAGAGCCCCTGACCAGACTCCAGACGGATTTTAGGTCATCAGTATGGAATTTCTGTCACCGAGTCTCAGACATTCCTCCTGACAAAGTTTCCTTAGCAGTGAAATGCAAGGAGAAACAGCTGTATTTGCTGGCTATTTAATCCCATTATTTCACAAATTTGAATTTTTGTGATGTCCATTTCTGTAACCAATACCACTTCTTTTTAGAATGTTTTTGTGACTGTTCATGTAAAGCTGGATGTGCATAATAACCATAACCTTTGTTACATTGATTGTTCCCCAGATACATGTATTTGATCAACTCCCTTATCACAGTCTAACAACACAATAATTCACCACTGTTCAGGACTAAGTTCTCATTACTAAATTCTCCCCTGCAGGTTCAAGAGTTTATTGTGAATAAAGATCCTACACTGCTGGATAATTTTCTAGATGTAAGTATGTTAAGTAATTTATTATTGGTCTATCTCCCTGTAATAATGTACAGCTGTAGCGTGCACAGATTCTGTTATAACAGGCAAGGTCAATTCAAAGCTTCTGTTTCCCTAACAATGGCGACAATAATACTTTGGATCAAAACCCACCAATCATGAGTGCATAATTATCATGATACACTGTCACTAGCAAACATGGTGGCACAATGTACTGATTATAGTCCCACTAAGTAAAATTTACTGAGTGGGACTATTATTAGTACCACCGGATGGTACATGTACCGGTATACATACATGGTGTTGAACATTTAATGAAGACCTGCATTATGCGGTGAAAATCATGTCACTATCAACTGATCAATTGACTATCATGAGACAAATGATATGTAAGTGGACGTCCCTTTTTAATAATATTATCTTTCATGACATCCTCATTCAATTTGTTGATTGTCCCATTCCAGGAAATACTAGTGTTTCAGCAGGACAGATCAGCAGATGTGCGTCGATTTGTTGTTGGATTCATTGAGGAAGCATGGTAAATTAATGATATGATACATGCAATAAATTGTTGACAGTTCATATACCACTGAACAACATGTCAGGATAGGAAATCCACTTGTCCAGTGGGCAAGTGAATTTCAGTTTTCACTTGCCCCCACTTAAAATATTATTGCCTGAAGAGAACACAATGCCTTATTATATATACTGGAGTTCTAATATAAGTCGCTGTCTATATTATAAGTTATTGATTATAACAAGGTAGGTAAGACCTAAACTACACTATAGTACTTTTAATGCTGTGCCAGATACAGAGTAACTACTGGAAGAAGAGTAACACAAGCTGCAAGCAAATTTGCTCTTGGATTTTGATTTAAATTAATTCATGCTTTCAATTCATTGTGTTACTCATCTTGAAGTCTTCAGGTTTGAGATAGTTTGTCTGGAAAAAATCATTTACAGTGTACCAAGCTGACACTTGCAGACAGGCTCACACGACCACTGAGGCTAATTTCACCTGCCCACTGGGCCACCAAACTTCTATTTTTACTTGCCCAAGATCAACATTTATTTGCCCAGCGCAGTGGAACCTGGGTTTTTTCCTGCCCTGTATGTTAACAGTCTTTTTTGAGTTTTATAATTGCATTATAAGTAAGTGCGGCCAATTCTCATTACACATGAAAAATACTGAAGTATTATGCTACAGGTTAAGATTTTCACATGAATTTGTGACACAGCATTGTTTGTTGCTGATTATCAGAGATTCTGAGTGAAATGAACAAATAATGTTACTTGGTAAAAGAGCAAGGATGCTCTAGAGAGCCTCTATTCTCTAAAGAGGAACAAGCCTTGGTCACGACTGTTCTCTTTTCATTTAACAGTTTTATTGGTATATCTTTTACTTTTTTCCAAACCTTCAGCAAGAAAGATATCGAACTGCTGAGTAAAGTGCAAAATACTTTGGCATTTATGCTGAACGATGACAATGTCGCAGTGCAGAAACGAGTCATGCTGTGTGTTACACAGCTCTACAAGTTTGCTTTACAGGTTAGTACATGTAGATTATAGCCATTGCTAGTTGAATGTTAAACCGCTAGATTCTCCTTCAAATCAGCTTTTGTTTGCTGGTGAAAAACTGGAGAATTTGGCATGAGATCATCAGTCACATTTTGATTGCTAGTTTTGCTGAAAAAAATGCAACAATCACACAATCCTTCCAGCGACAATAGCTGAAATACACCTAAATTCTATTCCCAGGTAGGCACTGTTCTTAGGTACAGCTATACACATGTATGTAGTAAATAATAGCTCAAGACAAATAACATTGTTTGTGAAATCACCCCCTAAGTAAATGTAGAAGGTCATGTACATGTAAGTTAACTTCTAAATACTTTACAACACAAGGGTGTTCACTGTACAAGCATTAATGAAAATGCAGCAAATGTTTCCATACATATGTGCATTAATATACTGTACACCTGTCTAATGCAATGCAAATTACAGCTGTACAATATTACAGGGCGTTACCAATCGATGAAACCGATGATCGGAAAATCAATCGATCAATCGATGACAATCGATGCCAATTAATCGATTGATATCGATAATCGATGAACAATCGATGCTCGGGTTTTATGTGATTATCGATTTCATCGATTATCAATTCTTATCGATTATCAATGCCAATCGATCAGTTAATTGTCATCGATTGGTTTTCATTTTTTATGCGTTTTATTTTCAGTCAAGATTTCCAAAAACACGGTCTCTTTATGCATTTTAATGATGAAAACTGCGATAAAACTTTAATTTTTTCACATCGGTGATTGATACATCGTGGAGAACATGGGGATACGATTTTATGACAATATCAATTTTCAATTAGTCATCAAATTGATGAATTGTGATGAAACTGTGGCAAAGAATAACCAATATACACCAGGGCAATTAAGCCTGCAGTGAACAAAATTCATTTTTTGCCCAGTTTACTTTGTGCACCTTTGTTGTGACAAACAAGTAATAAAGTGATTGCTGAAGTCTATCCACGTTGTTTCTGGTTTATTTTATTACAGTTCAGTATAATTACATCACCCACCATTCAGAGCTGACTCGTCCCCAGGCGTCTCTCCATCGCCAGACTAAGAGACGGTAGGGAAAGATGTCAGCATTCTCGCAGTTCGTCTAGATATCTTTAAACACAGAACACTACACTTAATTATTCTCAGAAATTTTACACGGATAAATCAGATAATAATAATTTCATCTTGCACGGCGTGTGGACAGGACCTGTTGGAAAAATAGGAAATAGTCGAAATATAAAATTCCTAAAAATTCATATCAACCAGATATCAACAGTATAAAGGACAGCGAAAGGAACAGCTAAGCGAAAAGGTGTGTTGTTGACTTGCGTTTCTTCAAAACACTGTTTCAAAGCGTGTTTCTGTTGTTGATTTTTGAAACCATGCAACAGCATACAAACAATCCGGTGAACGAATTCAAATGTCAAACATTTGTGCGTATCATGAAAAGTGCGATACGCACAGGCTGGAACATGTGGGATACCGAGATTTTTTCAACGCCAATCGATGACAATCGATGAGTTGCGACCATTTTGTGTGATTATCGATTGGTCATTGATTGGCGATGCCAATCGATGCCAATTAACTCAACAAGGCATCGATTGTCATCGATTGATCGATTGATTTTCCGATCATCGGTTTCATCGATTGGTAACGCCCTGAATATTATGTTGTTTCAATATAGCTTTACAATTGTACTTAAATTTTCTTAAGAATTGAACATGTGAAATTGTTCTATTCTGTCTTCAGTACATTTGCAAACATAAGGCAGTATCAGAAGAAGTGGAACACATGTGGGAGGTGAGAAAACGTTAAAACTAAAGTGCTCATGGAACAATTTGGTTTCAGTGAAAACACTAATTCAACCTTTCAATTTCTAGTTAAATTATTATTCCAGTTGCTGGGATAATTAAATCAATCCTGCCTTTCATATTTCCCAACTTTTGTGTCACTTCATTTTTTTAAATGTGACATATTGCAAGTACCTCAGACTACCACACTTTACAAGTTACTCCACTCACTGAGGGAAATTCTTGCCTATTAACCATTCCAACAACTGGGCTGTGATATCCTACAGGCCAATTCTGTAAATGGAATGTAATTAGCATGTGTTAGTATGCAGCTACTTTTGGCCATGGGACCTGCAGCTCTCTTGTTACATTCACTTTATAATTTCATTTAATAATAATTACATCAAGATTTATCTATTCAGTTGTTATTTATTCTTGTATTTCTCTTGTTTACAGCTCCTTATTCAGATCAAAGAACAGATCATTGATATGTTGGAGTCTGAAAATGATGGGTAAGTTTCTTTGCTTGATGTAAAAGAATTAATTGACTTAACATGTTCTGACTGCAATGCAGTTTTCTTTGTGTAATACTGAAAACTTAGTGAATGGCACTTGAAACCTTTGCAAACCAACACAAGAAAATCTTCAGCACTTGTTACTAACTACATGTAGTTAGGACAAAAATTGTTAGTAATTTATGTACCAGAGTGGCATGATTCTAATAACTATTTTAAACTTTGTATGAACCAGCAATTTGTACTGCATACCCTGACTACGTCCCACAATTTTATGGCATAACATGCAAGAAGTAAATACACTCAACTTCCTTTATAGCAGACATTGTAGGCACCTTGAATTAGTGTCCTCATGATTGAGAGTCTGTAATAGCGGGAGTTTATTTCAGTCAAACATTTTGCCTGGGATTTAGCTGCTGTCTGTATTATCAGGGTGTCCGTTATAGCAGGGTGTCCGCAAGGCAAGAGTTGAGTGTAATGTACATGTTGTATTCTAATCCTTAATGACATTTTTGAAGTTTCTGTCCAAGAGGTTAACAGTTCTTGAAGCTCATAAAACAATACCACATCACATCACATAACATAACACCTCTAAATTGGCAATTCAAACCCTCAAAGTATTGGGTCCCTTAATCTGCTTTAAAAAAAGACAAATTGTACACTGTAGCATTATAGTTTCTGTAATAAGATACCTCTGCCAGCTAGAAGCTAAGTTTTGGTAGGTTTGGCAATGACCAACATCTCTGTCTTCTGAATGTTGTTGTTTTAGAATCAGAACTCATGCAATAAAGTTTATCGAGATGCTAGTGTTGGTACAGTCACTTAAGTCTCAGGTAATAATACTACTTTTACGTAGTTAGTTAGAACTATCTTGTAAATCACCTTAATGGACTTTGGCTTGTTTCAGGATATCTATAATGCAAATTCTTATGAAGCCATGGTACATGTATTCTTTTACATGTACAATGTACTACTTTAATGTCAGATATTTCATTCACAAATCCTAAGTCAACCTTTAGATATCCTTCTCTTAGAGCTCTTTGAAGAGTTAAATGATGTAAATTTTCAGCAATCTAGTTTTGTTCAGTCTCTTTCGTTGCTGCCAGCGTAATGGTAGTCAATACATTTCTTTATGAATTTTAGGATTCTGAGTCTCTTAAGAAAGGTGAAGCAGACATCTCATTGGAAATAGTTCCCAGGAATCACCCACTCATTAAGATGACTGAACTCAGAGAAGAAGGAGGATCCATGTTAGAAACCCTGCTTACACTTATTGCTTCCCACACCATTTCCAGGTTGGTAAACTGGTGTTGCCACAGTCATGGTCTGTTTACCCCAACAAATCAAAACATTTCCCTTAACCTTATAAAGTTGTTTGTTATCAACAGAAAACGACGAAACAAATAAAAAATTAATGTGAATTTATTGTTGTTTGTATCTTCTTAGTGTCAACCTGATGGCTGCTCTTGGATCCTTGTCTGCTATTGCTCGTCAAAGACCTGCCTTTATGGCAATTGTCGTCCAAGCATTTGAATCTTTGCATGGTATTGTTAGACTAAGCTATAACTACAGTGAATGTGTGGCAGGCAAAATGTTGTCCTCTAAATTAACCCTTCAGTCTTAAGAGTGACTGACATGATTCTCCCAACATCAACATTACATTATCAAGAGAAACGTTTATGAGAATTACTGAAATGATCACCAATTGGAAAATGCTATCATCTTTTTCTCAAATTCTTTCAACCTACAGCTGTATTTTTTAAGGAGATAGAAGAAAATTTGTGTGAAGAATTTATACCTGGATATAGGTCCTCAGAGCATTAAGGATTGTGTTACAACAAAATACAATACATGTATTTTTCACATAATATTTTGTAAGGTTATCATTGATCTTTTTTGTGTCCTGTACTAACAGTCTTCTTAGTGATGTATCTTATTTATTACTCTGTGATTTGCAGCTAATCTTCCCACTTCACTGAGCAAATCTCAAGTTAGCAGTGTTAGAAAAAATCTTAAGGTATTGTAAAGTTAATGATTTATAGCTTAAATGTAAGCTGTATACTGCACAAAAACCTCTTACGTCAAGAAAATACATTCTGCAAAGAAATCATGAGAACGAATTCTTGGAACTAGTCTCCCACACTATCCACAACATTCATGAAGATGTATTCATGCAAACCTGTTCGTCCCCATCCAAGAAATTATTCAAGTATTCTTTCTTCTTGTTTCTCTTGTCTTTCCAGCTTCATCTAATGAGCTTGTTGAAACATCCTTCTTCAGGTAATTAAGCACTGAATAATAAGCTAAAGGAGCTTTCCTTTACTCTTCTTTATTCTAGTAATGGCAACAGTTTGGTTGTAGTTGAACGAGCAAAAAACCTTTGCTTGTCCATTAATCAACTTTCAATGAAGAGGCCCTGTCCTGGGGGGTTTTTCCTAACTTTCAGCCACAACACAATACTGTTGACACCTTGGATGCAGATGAAAACACCAAAATCAAATTCTCTCACAAGGAAAGATTGATTTATACACTACTGTTTTTTGTGGCCTGTAATTACAGCTTCCGCTCAATATTTTGCACCAGAAGGGAAAAAAATCCCTTTCACTGGGAGTGAGGTGCCTGAAGTTTATTCATCATCTTCCTGGTTATTTTGTTTCCCTTTGGAAATGTTGCTTCTTCTACATTTCCTGAAGACTTAACATGGAAAAGTGTCTTTTCGTTTTGGCTCGTTTTCCACGTTTTGGTTATTCTGATCATTTTGTTTTGTTTTTCAGTGGAGTTTCTTCCTCAAATCACAACACTTCTAACAGATCTTGGAGCATCACAGGCTGAGGTCAGTTGAAAAAATAAGGATCATTTTAATCACAAAATCCCTTTAATACTTTACATGCACATGTGAATGTACTGCCATCTTTGAAACGCACGCAGCTATTGTGGTCAGCAAACGTCTAAATTACATTTAGCAAAATTAAAAAATGGCTGAAGCTTTACAAGTAGTATCGTTGGATGGCCTTTTTGCTTGTACAGTGTACAGCCACGCACGCCATAGTTTAATATCCTTTGCTGCAGATACCGTTTTCCTTCTTTACCTCGCTGTATATTCAGGTGACAAAGAAAATCATTTTTACAGCTTGCCATTCGGGCAAGCTGAAGAAAGCATTTACTAGCGCAAACGTCATTTCAACTAGCCCCAAAAGCTTTCTGACGAGCAGAATTGATTTCACAGTTCTTCCTCAGTTTGAATTCCTCAAAAATCATTACTTGCCCGTCGGGCAAGTTAAGAACAGAATTCACTAGCCCGATAGCAAAGTCCACTAGTCCCGGGCTATCGGACTCCACTTTCTTTGCACGCTGATATTGTAAACAGGTAGCGATTTACCTCATACAGATGCGTTGAATTGTCAAAATTTTTCTCATCCTAGAGGTTCCAAATTTTGCACTCACAGAATTGTTAAATTGTCAAAGTCGTTCTTACTCCAGAGGTTCAAAAGTTTTGCACGCATACTTTGAGGTCTTTTCTTGTTACAAAAATTTGCCATTTTAACTTAATACATGTAATTGTTTATCTATAATTTCTTTACTATCACAGTTACAAAGGAACATGCCAAAACCCAGTGCAGAGAAACGGAGGTAGGTTACTTATGAATTAGTTAATAGCTTAAACATACGTGAGTCATAATACAGTCAACTCGCTCTAAGACGGACACCTTTGGGACCGGCAGTAAGTGTCCGTCTCAGAGAGATGTCTGTCTTATAGAGAGTCAACTAAAGGGAGTAAAGAAAGCAGGGACCAACTCTAGGTGTCCGTTTTACAGAGGTGTCCATCTTATAGAGGTGTCCGTTAAGAGAGAGTCGACTGTATAAGGAAAGTAAATATTAACATCCTTGTCCACGTTAGTTTTGTAGTTAATAGGACTGTTGTCAACAGTAACTGAGGTTTGTAAGACCTAAGTCAATATAATAGTGTATGGTCAGAAAGACTCTAGGACGGTATTGTCTGATTTGTCAATTTAGCTCAAATTTATTTGGTTGACTTCCTGGTGAAAGTAAATTAAATAATGGCATTGTTTTAAGGTGGAAAATCAACCAAGCCCTGGGCTTATGATCTTCATCATGCAAAAACAGTTCATTCCGCGTCATTTCGTCCTCAAACGGAACATTTATAATTAGAAATCATACAGTCATGTACGAAGTCCCTGCATGAGAAAGTGCAACCCTAAAACGCTATTTCTATTTATGTTGAATACTATTAATAACTGTGTATTCTCCAAGGCCTGAACCAGAAGCTGCAATTTCAAGTAAAAAGCAAAAAATTGATGTAAGTAAATATTTGTATTATTGTAAGGTAAGAGAGAAAGTTCTCACGATCTTAAGTCTGATGATCGCTTAGGGCGCGAAACTAAAGTAAAAACTTTCTCCTTTAGGTTGGATTTCCACTGTCGCATAATTCTTACATGCGCACGCACGTACATTTTACGTGCACAAATAAAACAGAGACAATGTAAAAAGTGTCGCGTGTAAACGTAAAAGTTGAGGGACGTCAACTTTAACGTTTACGCACGGCCTTTCATACACTGCCTCTGTTTTATTTACGCGTGTAAAATTTACGTGCGTATGCACGTGAAATTATGCGGCAGTAGAAATTCACTATTACTGTTTTGTGTAGCTCTGCATATCGATGCATGGAGCGATCCCAGGAAAAGTTTAAAATAATAATAAATTAATAATAAGAAGAATAATAACAATAATAATGACAAAAATGACGGTGATGATGATGACGATGAACAATATGATAACGTGGGGAAGAAAATATGTAATTAACAACAGTCATGTATACTATGTATACCGGGTGAAACTCTCCTTCTCGTCTTTTCAGGCAGGTTTTCATGTATTTTTTTACCTTTTCTCTATAGACTGAAGAAATAGAGACAATGTCTGCATCTGATGCCGTTGAAATGACAGCTCAGGACATAATCCCCAGGTTAAATAAAGAAACTGTAACAGATCTAGTTCTGGTCAGCATGTTAGCTCTGCCCGACAGCATCCCGTCCCATTTCCACGACACCTACACACCCATAGCGGCAGCTGGCGGTCAAGCCCAAGTGGTACATCTCGCACGACTTTTGGCCACTCAGATGAATGCTGCTAAAGTCGGGAAGGGTTACGAGAGAATGGAAGCCCTGAGAAAGGTACTGTTGAAATAACAATGGGTTTCGGTTTAAAAAAAAGATCGGCCATTTTAAGGCTGCGTGTGAGACTGGGTCAGTGTTGCCTCGAATTGCATTGTGGGAGTTGCCCTAAACCTCTGTTTCAAAGCGAGGCTAAGTGCTAGGCCATTGCTATGAAAATGATTTTTTACTCTCGTCCAAATAAAACTCAGCATTTTCACAAGAAAAGTTTTGCACTTAGCCTCGTATTGAAAGCAAGGTATTTTGGAACTCGGAAATGATCTATTTGAAGTATCCGACCCAGATGCAGAACGTTAGACTTGCTGTCACATGCCTTGTTTTAACCATAAGATTACGCGAAAAATGATTTGGTAGGCTAAGTTATTGATTAGGTGCGTAAGAAGCGATGTAGCGAAACATAACGCCGAGTTTCTCAGTTCCTTTTCGTTAAACTAGTTCACGATTTCTTAGTTTCGATTATCTTGTACGCTTCACTGGAGCCATAGTATCTAGGAAATGAATAACAAACATTTGAAAAGTACTGCTGAGAACTTTTTTTTATTTGGTAACACCATAGGGTTTTATCCACAGACTTCAAGTAAAACAGTACCATATGAAAGTACTGCTGAAGAGGTATCACTCAAATGGTAACACCATAGGATTTTATCCACAGACTCAGAAGTTAGAACTACATACTAACTGAATAGCACCATGTGAAAGTACTGCTGAAGAAGTTTCATTTGAATGGTCGCGCTTCACACTGCTCTTCTAACAAACACGTATCTCGATAACCGATCGTTAAGAAGTTAATTTATTTAAAAAGAAGCATGTGTATTTCTATTGTTTTAGGCTCAAAATGACCCCAGCATGAAAGAATCAGAGATCATGTCCATTCCTGTGATTGGCGGTGGTTCTTCATGGGGAAATAATGGAGCCGGTAACGAAGAAAACTCGATGGTGAGTCAGGATTTGTCGTCACAGCTTATTAGAGTTCTCCCGACAGTGCATTTTACTAGGCAATTGATTTTTTACGAGTTACCGGCATGTGAATGGAGACGCGATTAAGTGTTTGTAAGCGTATCGGACTCCTGTTATGAAAATTTGGGGTTTGACGGGTAGCCTTAACTAGGCTGACACTAATCTAGAATTTAGAACCCTGGAAAATTCGAATCTCCTACTCCTTTGCTCTTTGTGTTTTGGGAGAGGTGCTGCGTGATGACACAAAAAAATGCCGGCTAGAAAGCTCTAGACCGTTCACGACCCGCTATTTTTTTTTCCATGAACGCCCAATCTGGACGTGTGTGCCAAAGCGGCGCGCCATGGGTGGGGTACGAAAAGCGAAAAAAAAACTCACCCTCTACCCCTAGCCCCTCATGGATCAACGCTTTTTCCATTTGGCGCAGAGAAAATGAAAAGACTTCAGCACTTTACGTCAACTCGAATTTATAACTTTTCTTACAGGATTCCTGTGAAACACTTCGAAGTTTCTTGTTTTAATACCTCCTCTTGAAATATTCCTGGAATTTCGTCATAATATCTGACGACTAGGGTGTCAGTTTTGGTAGAGTAATAGAGGCTGTTCAGGGCCTGTTTACATGGAGTTGGGGGACCACAGGTAGGTGAGGTAACATTTGGCGGGTTACCCCACCTATCATGTAGACGTGATCATATTAAAATGAGAGATTATATGGACAGGCGGGTTACCTCACCTACCTGGGGTCCCCCACATCCACGTAAACAGGCCCTCAGTCTTCTTATTGGGAAATCTACCCTCTTGCGTATATCATTAAAATGCTCGATTTGCCTTAGTCTTTGTATCCTGGAAACCTCTTGGAGTTTCATTTGTCTTAGACTAATTAGTCTAACTTTGTTCCACATTGTCTCTCTTTACCCAGGAAAGAGTTTTTGTTGGAGGGGGAGAGTTTTTCTCTGACACCCTCCCTGGGAGTTAGTGCCACGAGCTATTTATGTCCTTACCCCAGGGGGCTTAGTTTGTCGATTTAAAGGATAATTAAATTAGTTGCATCTTTCCCCCTTTTTTTCTTTAGTTTATGTATGGTCAGGCTAAACCTGATGAGGATTCAGCACTTAAGAGAATGCTAGGTATGTTAGATTTAATCAAGGCTACAATGATCGGCCAGCTAGCGCTTAGTAGGCTCGATTACAAGCCGCTGTTTGGAAAAAGGGACCCGCGTTCATCCCCCTTTATCTTCGGGAAGGATTAGACTGACTTAACGCTGAAGAGCGGCGGAAAGAGAGCCTATGGTTATTTTGAGTCAATTTTTGTTAGTTCAACGTCTGAAGGAAGAAACGTTATTCGCACTTTGTGCCATTGTTAGTTTGTTATTGCCTATTAAGAGCACTCCACCTGCTCATGATTTTTGATCCCTTGTCTTTCTTGGAATTAAATAAGCGCCGTTACTTTTTACGTATTGTTAAGAAACAAGTGTCCGTCTAAGGCCTGGTTTTTACTCGCGCATAAACGTAAGCGTAAGCATAAAGCACGAGCACACGTGTAAGCAAGTGAAAACACCGGTGACAGTGCTTATGCTTGTGCTTGTGAAAACCAGGCTTAAGGCGTTGCATGGCTGCCTGCCGAGGAAAGTGGACGTGCACTTAGCTTCTCTAGCTTTAAGTTTACAGGCAGTGCACTCAAATAATTTGAAACCGATATTATAAACAGAACTAGGTTTGATAGCCCTAACTGACAGGAGGCAATCAGCTGGCTAGTCGCAAGCGTATCCAAGTATGTTAATTCGGTACAAGTTGTACGACCGACAAACAAATATAAGCGGTGGTCAGAGCTGAACTCGAACCCAGCAACGCCGGATTGCGAGTCGGTCACGCTACCTCTTATTTATCTTATTATTATGATTTACTGTTTCTCGCAGGCGGTCATTTCGATGCAACCAAAGAAAAAAGACCTCTGGACACAAAAAAGGTATCAGCCTTTGTATACAGCACACATGAGAGGATAATGTGCAAGAAGTTTTTTTCCCTTTCAAAGAAATTCCTGTTGTTTATTTGTATGTCGGTGAGCTGGGTCGGGAGCGAGAGGTCAGAATGTCAAATCTTGTCCACTTGGCTATTGCAGACAAATCGCAGGTTTTTTCGGTAGAAATGGTCGACTGTCGGCGATCATAATGTTTTGTAATTAACTTTCTTTGACAACTTCTGTTGTTTACTATGGGCTTAACATCTTAATTTATTTTTACGTATAATCAATCAATAGTCATGGTTACTAGCCGACAAGCACGCTTTGAGATGGGGAAATGTTGTGGAAGAGCTCTTTTCTCCCCTACCCAAGCCCCTGAGCCCTGACCTTTCTCTCGGTAAATCATTTCGATTGGCCGGAATTGTAATGTAGCTTTATTACCAGTAATTTTTTTTTTGTTTTTTGTTGTTTTTGTTTTTTAACAAATGTTCAGATATATGCTTTCCATTTTGTAGACACCGTTTGTTCCGAAAGAGCCTCCAGTCCCACAATTGGTAGGTATCACAGTCAAGTCTTTTTAGGTTTCTGGGAAACTGCCCACCTACCCCTCCCCTTAGCCAACATTTTGCCCTAAGTGAGAAGTAAGTGATAATGTTACCTTTGGGGAGGGGTAGGTGGGGAAATTCCCAGAAACCTAAATTGATCCGTCTTTTTAAGCCGTTAAGTCCTAAGAGTGACCAACATTAATTTTTTCCCAACAATATCAGTGTATCATATAGAGAAAAGGTTTTGAGAATTATGAAGTTGATCGCTAAAGGAAAAAATGCTTTGATCTTCTATCAAACTCTCCCAACTAGTTCTTTAAGAATTTCTGTTTGGATATTTGGACTTGAAGGTTTAAATTAACCCTAAAGGACACCTCTGTAAGTAAGGCATCTAATTTTAGTTCCTGGTTGCCGCTAGTTCAGTTACTTATTTTATTTTAAGGGCTGGACTGTATAAAACACGGGAGCCTCTCTCAGACATACGCATCACATTAATCATGGTCCAAGTACAGATAAGGTCCAAGCAGTCTTAAGTCTGCCCATTTGAACTTAGTAGAGTTTCAACTCAGTTTTGTATCACTTACCCTATAAATGGGGAGAAAAATCATGTTTCTAATGGCTGGCATTCTCTAGCCTTCAGAACAGGAGTAATTTTCCTGCATTTTTCAAGAGAGCAAAGGCAAGCTCGAAGCGAGTGAGGAGCGCCAGGCGTGTCTCGCGTCTGGTGCTCCTCGCTTGCTTTGCGCTTGCCCTCGCTCCTATGAAAAATGCGGGAAAGTTACGCCTGTTCTGAAGGCTAGTATTCTCCCCCTCTCTTATTCAAAGAAAAATCAGTTAAAATCAATGATTCAATCATGATGATAAAGAAAAGAGGCAAACCTATTCTCGGAGACTGCTCTGCTGTCGCTCCTTTTCGCTTGTCAATGGTAACAATGTTTAACAACCACGAGGACCCAGATCAGTTGCTCCAGACGATGGCATTTTTGTAGTTTTACAATTATACGAGAATTATCAGAAATTCGAAACAGGGCAAAAAGGCTCTGCAAGAAAATCATTTGTTGTGTGTTGTATATTTGTGCTTACAGCGCATGCGGAAAATTAAACCGTTCAAGTTATTCGACGTGACGAGAATTTTGAATCCAGCTGAGAGACAGAGAATGATGACGTGCGCAGTAAACAGAATACTTGCTGCTGAAAGTGAGTTAGGGACTGACCATTGGAAATAACCGGGGGTGGGGGGAACTAGTCTAAAAAAAAAATGCTGCAAGCGGTGATACCTAAAACCAATAAGTCATATGCCCTAGAAAAAAATTCCTGCAGACAAGCGGGCTTTTAAAAAAAATTGATTCACCAAAAATTTTCCACCCCCCTCCGGTTATTTCTAATGGTCCGTCCCTTAGCGATCTCAAAACAGATAACTCGGGATAGTTCTAGTTTTCTCATCTGTTATTTACTAGTAAATCTTAGTGAGATAAGAATATATTATACTTTCCTGTTTTATTATAGACTAGTATACACGACCCCTCAAGCATTTTTACTTCTTTAATACTGCATGATCATGTGTAAACAAACGATATTCATTCATTCATGCTTACACTTTCCTCAAGTTAAGACAAGTATATTTATTGCGCACATTCATAGAAATAATATACATTCCATTTACGTGGATCCCATTTTGAAACACCTGGCCAAACTTTTCAATTTCTCTCCTTTTGATGCTCATTGTAACTCATTCTTTGTTTGATTTCATCCTATTGGTCGTCTGGGAACAATTCGTGTGTGGGGAAGATTACAAAAATTACTATGACCTATGAAGCTACCCATAAACATAGTGTTTGTATTAATGGTGTGTTTCTTCTTGTTGTTGTTGTTTTATTTCTAGACAGTGCAGCACGAAGCGGTGTGATTCAGGTATTAAACGTGACTGAAGTAATTGATTGTTTCATTTAAGCTCCCTATCCCAGCACCCGGTAGGAGGGGTGGGTATTCTAGGGATGTTTGGGCTGGGTTGTTCCACTAGGATCCAGCTAGGATCCTTTCCTTTGCCAGTCCACGTTCAGTTGCAATTTTGCTCTCTTATTCTACACTGAACACCAAAAGTCCTCAGTACCCTGTCACAGACTAACCATAAACGGGGAACTCAAATTCTTGATGCCACGAATCAGTGTACAATAGTAATTTATTCTCACTACATTCCTATTACCACATCACGGTAAACTAAGTTATGGGAGGAGACCGCGACAACTGTGGCAACAAAGGTATGCAGCTGGAGGCAAGGGTAGCCGCGTCAACCGGCACCAGGGGAGGAGGGTAGGGCGACAGAAGCTTCCCTCACCGGAATGGGGGCAAAAGACAACGATCGAGGTAAAACACGGGAGTTTAAGCAAAGAGACAGCAATATGCAATTCTGTATGCAGTGAGAATAAGTCCATAAATAATAGCTTATTAATAAAGACCTAAACGGTTGGAGTGAGGGGGGGAGGGGTTGCGGTTCGTCATCATTTCAATTCCCAAGTTCGTTTAGTTAAACACGATCTTAGTCTTAATCGTTTATTTTCACGTTATTTTAAATATTCTGAATTGATTTTCATTATTTCTAGGAACGGATCAACGTTGTCGTTAGCCTAGTAACACAACTTGGAGGTGAAATAAAAACAGGTACAATCATTACCCCCTCAAGGCCAAGTATATTCTCTTGACCCTCCTCCCTATTCTTCTTGTGGTAATAACCCCGGGAATTGAAGGACAGCGAAAAAAAACTAAATATTTAGCCAGAGAAAGGCAAGATTTCCTCGTCAAATGTGAATTTAGCTGGGCTGTCAGTCAATGATGAGGATAACTTTCAATTTCAAAAGGGGAAGTGGACGGATAAGTTTTAGACGGGAAATGAAATCGTTATTGACCGAATTCATTTGAGACAAATTTTAGGTGTGTTTGACTCTGCGCCGGACAAGGTTGAAGAGACGAGAGGCACTCTACATCTTGACATAGAACCAGCCTCATTGGAGTCGAGACAGGGGTCGTTTCCAGCTCAAGTGGGACAGTCTTCCGCTTTCACTTGTGCCTAAGACACGAGACAGTAGAAGGTTTAAACGTCGATCAGCGTCCCTGTGATCGACTCCCAATTTAAGACCAAAGTTAAACCTTTTTAGCAATGTCAAGTGTAAGATTAAATGAATTTGTCTCGTTTTATCACACAACAGTCCTTCAAGAGTTCATCCAAGAAGATATCCGGGCTCGTTACGATCTTCTGATGGCCTGGCTCTATCAGGAATACAGTGCCTATCAAGTCGACGCCATGGAGGATGACAGTGAATCAAGTCAGTCATACAGTGACTGTCTGCTCAATCTCATGGATGGATTATATTCCAAGTTAGACCCAAAAGACAAGTAGGTTTGGTTGTATTAGGCGTACCGTTTTCCAAATTACGATCAGACAAACCTCCTAAATTTTGCTGAAGTCAGTCAGTCGTACAGTGACTATCTGTTTAGTCTCATGGATGGATTATATTCCAAGTTAGACCCAAAAGACAAGTGAGAGTTCTTTATCCAGTCTGGTTGTATTAAGCCCTTGGCATTCCGAACAACGACCAGAGAAACCTCCCTAATTTTGACCAAAAACGGGCGCAAAGGTCTCCATATTGTTTGAAGATTTATATTACCAAAATAGTGATTGCATGATGATGAAGTTTGGCGTCATTAAGGCTTAAAAATGCTGTCCATAATTAAGTGCGGTTCTAAAAACATGACCATTTTCCCGTCATCTGAGCCCAGAAGGCACTTGTCTCTATCGCTCAATCACACCTTGTTTGCTCCCCAACATTTTGTCTAACCTTTGTTTTTCAAGTGCATTTTGGGATATTTGCAAGTGGTGAATGGCCCTTATGCATGATTACGTCAGACGTGCCAATTTCACCACGAAGCCCCCGTCGTTTGTAAGCAAAATTCGTCGCATTTGCACTCTTTGTGCGAGGGTATTCTTTTCAACCCTACTACCTTGTCAATTCATTGATGTAAAACTTCACAGCTTTACAATTTCAACAGTAGGCGTGGCAATGAAATTTTTCGGTTTGGCGTAAGTTTGTATAAGGGCCATTGATGTAGCGCGAGTTGTCGCTCATGTTTTTTTTTTTTTTACTGTTTGGCTCTGTTACAGGTTGTTTACACGCATCCTGTTGGATATTCCTTCACTTACAGACGGTGCAGTGATGGCTGTCAGAATGTACTGCGAGGACTTGGTTAGTAATGAAACACGCAGGCATTATTCTTGAAATCGTCCTCTCCGATTCGTTTAATTCATGCACTCATCGTTGTTTCTCTAGGAACGTCTTCAAGTTGGATTTTCCACCATAAGAGAATTGATCTTAAAGCGGCCCGCGACCCAACTGCAGCTGCTGGAGACTTTGTTGGAACTGACCACAAATGAGAAGGAACAAGTCCGAGTTCAGGCCATTCACTCTGCCAAAAAGCTTCACATAAGACCCGAACTAGCGGAACATATCGAGGTGAGTGTTTGTCTATGGCTATTCTAAACAACACTTAAGGAAAAGACTGTCTATTCCTCCTCCTAGTCCCCAGTTCCCATTTTCTTACCTTTCATTATACTATGAACATTTTTTTATATTTAGAGACCTTTCGATTCGAGAACTAGAACACAACTACAAGGACAAGATTTGCGTCTTCTAAAAAAAAATAGACACCACGAATACTTCATTGCACTTTTTTCACCAGAAAACAGGGATCTTACGAAACTACGACGGAGACGGTGACGACAAAAGTCAATAGGTTTAGTTAGCAAAACAACTACTTTACACGTGCATCACGCATTTTTTACATTTCTTTGCCGTCCCTGCACGACTGCGACGTGAAATGACTTAATTTTAAGGTTTTTTGAGGACGGGAATGGCAAGGCGATAAATTCGACCGTCCCTGTCTGAACTCAGGCGCAACTCCCTCTCTTCAGCTCCAACTAAACCTTTTTAATTTCAGAACTATGCTCTGGGCTCATTACAACAGCTGCTTGCTGATCATCCGCCCGCCCCTCCTGGACAAGATCCCGATGAAGGTAAAATTTTTTAATGTTATCTGATTGCTCGTACAGTATGCGTCAACGGCAACTAAAAAGAACCTCCATTAGCGTATTCTTTAACTGCTTTGTTTGTTTGTTTGCTTTTCCTGCAGAGGTCGCTCCAGGCGAGTGGACGGATGACACCATTAAACTTTGTCTTTATTTGTACCTTGCCCTTCTTCCACAGAATCATAAGTTATTTCATGAGTAAGTCCGACGATCAATTGTCAAGTTAATCTTCTCTCAAAACTACAATAGTGCGTTGCCGCTTTAACATTCTTCTTATTTGTCTGTCTACTTCCCTTTTACTCTCCAGACTCGCTCAAGTTTACACAGCCTCCTCGCAGATCATAAAAAGAATTATCCTAAGACATCTAGAACATCCCGTAAGTACTCTCATTCCGTTGAGTTTGTTTCGTATTGTCAACCCTGGACTTTTCAGCATAAAGTCAACTCTGTCTAAGACGGAAACCGCTGGAACAAGCAATAGCTGTCCGTCTTAGGGAGGTGTCCGCTTTAACCCTTTAAATAACCAGCATCAACTTTCTCTTAAAAATATTAGAAAGCTTTAGATTCTGAGACGAGGAAGACTGCGAGTAGGAGATTTTCTCAATACTAAGTAGTGCACGCGCGTGAACCAGCGTCATTTTGGCGGGAAAACGTGATAGCCGTCGTCATTCAACTACGAGGTTATCAAATTTTAACCATTTTGCGACCAGGGGCCGGTTGCTCGAAGCCTGGATAGCGCTAACCGTTGGTTAAGAGGTATCAAAATGTATAGGTTTCCATGGTATTTAACGCTGGTTAGCACTAACCATGCTTCGAGCAACCCGGGCCAGGAAAGGGCTTAACCTTTTCCAATAAACATAACCTCCCTCTTTGCAAAATAGAGAGTTTTAGATCCGAGTTTACCGCGAACCTCTAACCGCAGTTTGCGGTTACCCGTTTGCGGTTCGACGTTCAAACATAATTCGATTTAGATTGGCGGTGGATTAGATTACGGCCGCCATTTTGAATCAGCAGCCATGAATGGCACTTGTTTTCAAGATCCAATAGGATTTATTAAATTTAGCATTTCGCCCGAATTTGTGCCTCTGGTTAATGGATAAAGACTTGCTCCACAAGATGGTTTGTATCATTACGTGGGATAAAACAAGAATTATACGCTAAAAGCTTTCAGGTGAATGACATACGTGAAAACCTACCTCCCCACGTTGAAAACGCACGTCGCAAACCTCAAACGTGACGCGAAAGACTTGTCACCTGACCTCCAGCGGTTAGAGGTTCGCAGGAAACTCGAATCTAAAACTGTCTAATGAAGCTTTCCGGGTTGAATATTTTTCGAGAATACGCGAAAATACTTAAAGTTAAATCTCGTACTCGTACTCGTCCTTGTTCTTAATTCTAAAGCTCTCTTTTAAAAAATCAAGACACAAGGCAATGAGAATTTATAAAATAATCACCTATGGTAAATGCTTTGATTTTTAAGCAAATATTTCTCAAAAAATTCTTTAAGGAATTGTATGGATATCAGTGTAGAGAATTTGTATGTGTGGATACTGGGGCTTAATAGAGTCAAGGAAAGTGACTGAAGAAAGGTAGAGACCAACCATAGCTCTGCGTTATGAGAGCTGACTGTATTACTATATTTTTCGTTGACGCTTTTTCGTTTACTGTGTCCTTAGGTGCGTGCGATTGGTATGGCTTCTCCTGAACTCCTACAGTTGGTTGAGAACTGTCCAACAGGAGCTGAAACACTTATAGCCAGGATTCTCAATATTATAACTGACAAAGGTAACGAAATGTTTGGCTTTAATTTAAGCTCACAATATCCTCAAATAAGAGGAACGTATTTGTTAGATATACTTCCTTGATCAAGAAACCTACTTTTAATGGTCACCGATAGAAAGCCGTCGCGCAGTTAAATACTCTTCAGCTCAGTCTGACATTGCGCCAGAATTACAACTCTCAAACTTTTGATACAGTGAGTAACTTTTTTGCATCAATTTTCTCTTCCAGCGGTACCCACTGCAGAGCTTGTAAAGCGAGTCAAAGAACTTTATCACAAGCGCGTATCTGACGTAAGATTCTTGATTCCTGTGTTAACTGGCCTGAAGAAGCAGGAAATTATCGCCGTGCTGCCTAAACTGATCAAACAGTCGCCCAGTGTTGTTAAGGAAGTTTTCAACCGATTGCTTGGGTGTTTTCACAGTAAGTGATCGGAAAGTAGCCATCATTTAAGCCCACTAGACCTGACCAAACAAATAGTACTAGGTAACGTTGAATGCGCCATGGGGTTTCGTCTATAGATTCAAGAAGTAAGATTGCATGATGTGATTGCAGAGTTTTTATTGGCTCCAGTAGCCGTCATGTTTAGTGTTCTTTGATTATGTCCAACGAAAAAATTAGATTCATAGCTAAACTCATGGGTGCCTGGATATTGGCCTATGAACGCAGGCGTATTTCCGTTCGTCGCATCTCTCCACCCGCAAAAGTAACTTTCTGGATATCGGATAAAACATTTTTTTTTTCTTGTTTACACTATCCAATGACTGCCAACCTCCCCCCTTAGGTGCTTCGTATTTCCCATGGAACACGCGCGAAACGCGAGTGACACGTGCGAGTGACTGGTGACGAAGGGCAATGGACCATGGGAAGGAGGAAGAAGAGAGACGAAGCGACTTCTCGTCCGTTTTCTCGTTCCCGCCTTCCCAAAGACCTTACATTGTGGTTTCATGCAAACTTATCTCTTTTTCCAGGTGACTCAAAGGTATCCGCAACCAGTCCCCTCAGTCCGTCGGAACTGCTCGTTGCTCTACATCAGATCGAGGCCAAGAGCGACATGAAATCTGTTATGAAAGGTACTTTTGTTAGCTGCGGCTGGTTGGAAGCATCTCGCCTTTGCTATTAATACATAAACCATTCAAAGGCATCTGTACTCTACTTGTAATTCTTAACTACAGTGTTGTTATTGTGCTTAATGGTTGAGCACTAGAAAAGAAAAAATCTTCGCCACTTTCTCTGACTGAACCAGTCGTGACTCCCTCCAGAAAACTAAACCCAGACTTTTTCCCTTTTAAAGAATTCAAAACAGCTTTTGTCGGGAATCCAGCCCCAGCTTGTTGGGATTGAATACTTACTCAGCAGCTCTAGGGTAGGCTGAGCAGCAGCGCATGCGCCTGGGCATATACCGAACCGTTCCAGAAACATTTATATTCATTACTTCTGATTGTCCCTAATAGTAAGTCCCCCTGTGCCGTCTCGTTTTTGTAGTAAACTTTGCCTGCTATAATTTCGCCTGTTACTATTCCCTCCTTATCAGCGTTTCCTCAGTCTCAGAAGGCGATTTATACCGTAAAGCCAATTACTATTTTTTGTCCACACGCAGCTAGCAGCTTGTGTTTTGCGGAGAAGACTATTTACACTCAAGAAGTGTTGGCAGTGGTTTTACAACAACTGATGGAAATGAATCCTCTCCCAACCCTGTTCATGAGGACGGTAATTATTTCTTTGCCAGTATGGTCTGATTAGTATACATACCTTCATATACACCTAATTCAAAAAAGGTTGCTTTGGAAATTCGCCACTGTAGAAACCAGAAGGGAACTGGGCCGAGTTAACTTTCGCAAAGACTTTTGGGATCTTTAGTGGGGACGGGAAAAGAAAGTGGCCAATAGCTGACCAGCGCGTCCCCAGTAACGATCCCAGAAGCCTTTGCGAAAGCTAACTCAGCCCAGTTTCCTTCTCGTTTTTAAAATGGCGAATTCGCCACTGTAGAAACGGGAAGGAAACTGGGCCGAGTTAATTTTCGCAAAGGCTTCTGGGACAGGAGAAAAAAATTGACCAATAGCTGACCAGCACGTCCCTAGTAACAATCCCAGAAACAACTGCGCTGTTCTAGTCCCCTTCTCGATTTTGAAGTGGCGAATCAATTGATTATTGGCGATTGGGTGTTTAGTTACACAAAACTCACTGCAATGAGTTGCTTGAGTGACCACCAAACAATAGCTTGCCAGTGAGCAATTCCCAATGCCCGATGTAACCTTATTTAAATCAGCTAATAACATGGACCTTCTAGGAAAGCTTTCGATAAAATGACCAGAATCCACGTGAGAATTTATTGATAAATCACCTCTCTTTTTTTTGCTTCTTTGCAGGTGATCCAATCTCTCAGCATATGTCCTCGATTAGTTGGTTTCGTTATGAACATACTCGCTAAACTGATCACCAAACAGGTAAAAGTTGTACCGTTGATAACTTTCCGATATATGACCTTGGTTTTTTGAAAGCTTTGCTTTTCTAGTAGCCAGTACTGATAAAGCTGAGTTAGAGACCGTTGATTTAATAAGGAGTTTAAGCAAAGAAGTTTCTCAGCGACGTTCAACTGGAAGCGGGTTTTTTGCACAACTTCGGCGGTGGTTTCGCTTACATTTCTGGGCAAGTCGTCCCAAAGACACTAAGCATTACGAATTTGGCAGTTTCAAGATATATTAAAGGGGAAAACCCCTCACGTCCGGTCGATGTGCGTTACTCAAAAACGCCTTTGCTCAAACTCCCTAGTGTCTGTGATCGCCTTTCATTCTTGTCTCTTCATTATGCAGGTCTGGAAACAACCGAAAGTCTGGCAAGGATTTGTCAAATGTTGCCAGGTAATAGCAGTCATCCTTCTTGATATCCTAAACTAGACTCCGTCCCCTTTTATATTGGCCATTTTCAGGCTTAAAGTGAGACTACAATAGGTCTTCGTGTCGAACTGTACTATGGGACTGTCTTGGGGACGCTATCGCTTTTTTACTGGCTCTTATAAGGATGCGCAGGAGAAAGGGTTAAAATGGGCCCCTTGGAGCTAAACGGTCACGCGGGACAAAAACACGACGGGCAGCGTGAGATGCCGTTGGGGAGGAAAAACAAAGAGATTAACAATTTCCTTTTTGCTCAGCGACCCACTTCGTCGTTTGCCGACCAGAAAGATGTTTTTGTACCGTGTGACTGTTTAGCTTCAAAGGGCCCATTCCTCCCTCAAAACACTCGTATAGTATGGTGCTTTTCAAGATAACACAACACCCACTCCGTCTCAAACGCAACCTCAAATTGACCAAGCAACAACAACAACAACAAAATGTATTGATAAACCTGTAATATTACAGAAGCATTGCCCGCAGCTAGCAAGGCTATTCGAGGCGGGACAATGCGTACAAAATATGAAATTAAGCCTAAGGCTAACTAAGGAAAGTTTACAGTTTACAAATAAATGAAATTAAAATCGTAATATGGATGAGGACTAGATAACACAATAAAGAAAAAAGAATTAAACAAATGAATTGTAAAATAAGAAACTATTAAGCAAGAATTTATTTTTTGACATTTTGGTTAATCTTATCATTTTAATTAAGTTGGGCATATCAATATGGTCATCATCTGAATAAGGTACCACTGAGAAGGTGTAATGATCGTTATGTCACTCATAATCTTTAGACAAAGTAAAATAACTAACTCCTTGGCGAGTTTCGAACCCATGACATCCCATCAACACCGGGTGGGGTGGTGCTCCATCTACTGAGCTACGGAAGAGGTTCATGGAGAGCAGTGCCTCTGGGCTTCATATGTGACTCGCTTCTTGTGTTCTATTAAAACAGCTTTGTCAAACGCTTCCTGTGCAACGTTTAAAAAATTCTTCTTTGTTGTGAACCGTATGTTAAGATGTGTGGAGGCATGTGTGGCCGAGTGATTAAGACCTCAAACTCCGGATCTGGAGGTCCGGGGTTCGAGCCTCGCCCGTCGCGTTGTTCCCTTAGACAAGAAACTTTACTATACTTTGTCCCTCTTCACCCAGGTGTATAAATGGGTACCGGCGACATACTGCTGGGGGGTAACCCTGTGGTGGACTAGCATCCCATCCAGGGGCTAGTAGCAATACTCCTAGGTGCTTCATGCTAATAAAACCGGGATAAGCTCCGGCCGTTTGGGCCTTTGGCTCGTGTGCGCCCTTACCTTACCTTTACCTTATGTTAAGATGTGACCTGCTGACATGTCATTTGGTAATTGTGTTTTGGCAGATGACGAAACCTCAGTCCTTCTCGGTCCTACTACAGCTGCCTTCTCGACAGTTAGAGAGTGTATTCGAGGTAAGAACCAAATATGATTTGTCTGGAAATATCTTCCATAAGGTGTTTAGGTTTTTGCGTTGGGTGCATACTAACTATACTATATAATGAACTAGTCCTGACCTATCAAGGCGTTTTATGTGTATATTTAGTTTATTAACGGTAGCTTTAGTTGCAGTCTAAGTTTCGCCATGGATAAGACCTATTTTCGCATTTTAGTAATGATATACAGGAAGTAGCCTCCGTTATCAAAAGCAAATGTAGTGTTAAGCTTTCTGTAGATGGATATTGTCAAGGCGATTTATCCAAGATTGATAGTATTTTAACCAGTATAATTTTTTATTATTAATCAGATCTGTCCTGAGCTCAAGGAGAACTTGGTTGCGCATGTTCAGTCATTCACTCCACACCAGGTATGCTCTTTTTATATCGAATTCCTTTCCAGGGCTTTTCCATTATAACTTTGAAAAGCCTTTGCTACGAGTGTTATATTTTTGATAAGAACTGTTCGGAACCTTTGAAGCAAAAAAATGAAGTAACAGACGTCAACAAGATACGTTGAATATTTCAAGTTTTTACTTTACTTGTTTCGTATTTCTTTATACAGTGATACTCGAAATATGAAATACTCACTGACTAATCCTAACTATAACGGTGCCTAGTATTAAGAAACAGTGGCAGGATGTGAAATTATCTGATTTTTTTATTCCTCTTTATCTTCCTATCAGCGTGCGCATATTCCACGGTCCTTACTGCAGATCTTGGAGAAGGATACCAAGAAAGACGAGAAAAAACCTAAACTAGAGAAACTCGACAAAGAACAGATTGATCCCGAAGAACAAGAGGACTCGACGAAGGACGACAAATCCCCGAAGAGGTCACGATCGCACACGAGGGAGTCGTTGAAAGACAAGAAAAAATCGCGGCGCTCCCGCTCCCGATCTCGCTCCAGGTCACCGCGAAGGAAAAAAGAGAAAAGCGCTGGGGAGGAGAGTGCCAGCGAAGGGGAAATAAACTGAGCGGGACTGCACGTGCAATAACATCTGTCTTCAGGTGTTCAAAAGATGGATAGTCCTGTCCAGTGGACAACGCAATTTGTTTCCTAATACTTATCTACACTGAATAACGATTTGTCCCGTTGATAGCTTTACCCAAACTTTGATCCATCGAGGCTAGTTTTACCAAAGTGATTTTCTTTGGATTAACAAACTTTTCAAAGTGACAACAAGGATTGCTGGTTATCTAGTCGTAACATGAACGTACAATTCGGCCTTTGGTAAGACAATGGCGCACTGTGGCTTTTAACACCTTAAGTGCGAGAGTAAGCTTTATAAAGAGGTCAGATATACCTTGCTTAACATGTCAAATGTATGTACCTACCGGAAAGCCTTTCTCTGTATCGAATATGAGTCAGAATCTGACACTATACCTCATTGGAGGCTATTTTCTTTCGCACCTCTATTTCCCCTTATCGTACCACAGTCACACAATTGTACCATTACCGTCTTGTCGTGTTTCACCAGCGACCATCAAGGCCTGAGGACGGTGATGGCAGCGGTACTTTGTCAAATGTAGGCGAACTCTTCTAGAGTTGCATTCCCAAGAGCCATATCTAAGTTCAGAACGAAAAAGAAAATTCAGTCGTGGCCTGTTTACGTCATCCATGAAAGGTGGCTAAAAAATGTACAAAAAAGTGTGACGCACGTGCGAAATTGTTGTTTTTCTAATCAATTGCTTCTTGTTGCCGTCGTCTCCGTCGGATCTTAAGGTCCCTATTGCGAAGTACAGCGTATTAGGCTACTGGAGAACTGGTTTTTAGCAGTAGAGAGTATTTGAATTATTTCCTACTGGACTCACTTTATTGAGGGTGGAAAAACCGGATGCATATTAGCCTAATTACAGCAGCAATAGATTTTTCTAGCATGTATGTTTGGTTCTCCTGTTTCAGGCCATTTGATGTTACCCTCAGACAACTGTTTCTTTCAAATTTCGTCCGATCAACGTCCTTATGTAAGAATAAGACATGAAATTCCCTCGAGAACGCCACGTGATCTGAATTGGGAAAGCAAAATATACAACCAAAAAAGGTCTATACTTAATTTAGCTTAGTAGCTGAAATATTTTTTAATATGAAACAAAGATTGCTCCCAGAGCAAGTTTCAGTACTTGTGTATATAGGTGTATTTCTTTCTAAATAAAAAGGAATCAGAAAATACCTTAAAATATGGTGACAGTTAATATTAGTTTCCAAGAAGGCAGCTTATTT